ATGGCTGAATACTTCATAACAAGTAAAGTTAATTCATATAAAAGTTCAATTACGGTCACAAGTTTACAATTAAAGTACATTTGTTGTTTGGTAAAAGAACATACATTCACGTTCGATAATGTTCACATGTCTAAATGATATTACCAGACAATGTCAAAGACTTCTGTGCTTTCCGAATCGTGTCCCTGGAAATCCGAATATAACGGCAATAACTGTCCGATGTACACCGACCAAGTGTTTTGATAATATGGTCTTGAATATTAACAGATCATGCCGATGTACTGGCACCAATTCTACAGGCATGACAATTGTATAAGCTAGAGTTGTACCCACAAATATCTTGTACATGTTTTAGACTTCTGATGAAAAATTCCCTGTCTAAAGCGCTACCATTCTCTTTGACAAACACTGGACCTGAAAAACAAAAAGATGTTTCTCTACCCTTCCTGATTGCGATATACTTTTTGATAGCAGAGAAAGGACAAATGGTATGATCAGATTTGTGAAGCTGTATACCAACACCTTTACGAAAATGATCTGTCTTAGAGGTTTTAATGTGTAGAATAGAATACGAATCGAGAATCTCAACATCCGTTACACTTAAATATACAATAGAATCAAAATGTTTTAAAACTGAAAATTCGCCACATCTAAGAAATCGAAAAAAGGCTACTGTACAAGCCGTTTCTAGCATACAATCAGTAAAGGTAGAGAAAACACCTGCTCTAAGAGAATCGCAAATTCTCCCAAGTACCTGAAAAGTAATAGGAAGACGTGGTTTTGGATTATGCTCTCATTGTATGCGTTTGAGTCTATGGATTGTCGATTCATTTTTATAATCAAACGGATGTTCACAGTTACTTTGGTTATAATAAAACCGAATTAAAGTTTTGTAACAATTTGCGACAAAATAAATCAAAATATACTCAGAAATCGGAGGCATGAGTTTACCTAACCATACAACCCCGTTGCTAGTAAGAATTGCAGTATAAGCTCGACGATATCCAACTTTATAAGTCTGTGATGTTCCAGTTGATAACACATGTCGCCATAATTCCGACACTGTAGACTTTAATGCCACATTACTCGTGAGACTAGCGGGCACTTGTGAGGTACTTTGTCTGCTAAAGGTGCAAGGATTTTGAAACGCTCTAACTGTAAACGAGAAAGAGTGTCACCGATATTATTTTGAACCCCAGAAACGCGTTCGGCGCGAATACAAACGTTATTTTTACAGGCATACAACGTAAGGGTTCTCATAAGTTTTATTAACAATAAACATCTGAAACCACCTTTATTAACAATATGGACGGTGGCTTCATTGTCAAATCGAAATAAGATTCTTTTAATTAGTAGTCCATAAATGACCCCGTAAGATGGCTGCAACGACTATAGGATAGAGAAGCAATGGAATATTTCTTTTCACATGAAGAATATAAATCTTCCGGCCAAGGAAAGCAAAATCATTTCCCCTTAAAAGAACCACCATAACCAATGGTAGAATCTGTATATAATTCGAAATCCCTAACACTAGTATAAATAGAATCATAAAACATGTTAATGCCGTTCCAGTTTACCAAAAACGAGTACCAAAAATCGCAAATCGGTACGACATTCATCGGTTAAATATATTTCGTCTTTCAGATCCTTGACAGTAGTTGATAATGATATTAGGTATGAAACAAATGAACGACCCGGAATTATAACCCGCATGGCGAAATTGAAATGTCCTAACAATTGTAAAAGTTCACGTTTGGTACAAGATTGTCTGTTTAAAAACTTCTTGATAAATTCACTGATGCTACTTGTTTTATCTAAAGGCAAGCGTGTCTCTATCTTTTTCGTATCAAGTAAACTACCCAAATATTCAATAACTGTACAAGGGCAAACAACCTTGTGTTTAGCCAGTGGAATATGAAGTCTTTTAAAAAGTATAGTTATTAATGCCATTGCTCTCTCTGCGCAAGAATAGGGTTTATCTATAGTAAAAAAAATTGTCTAAAAGGTGAAATATATATTCAATTTTGTAGATATTAGTAGCAATCCAACAAATCGCTCTAGATAATTTATCAAAAATAGTTGGCGAGTAACTACAACCAAACGCTAGTCTAATAAAGAAATAATATTCTTTACACCATTTAATGCAAAACCTTTTTAACGCCTAATTGTTTGAAAGCGGACTCTATATCAAATTATGAGCACAATGAAAAACGACCTAATTTTCGTATAACTTTGATCGCATCGTCTATTCTGACATACGTCATTGAACAATCTTCTTTACTGATCAAGTCATTATAATACTACAATTATCATCATCGTCATGTGGGGCTGATAAATCCAATATAGCCGCTTTTTCTCGGAGTCCTTCCCCACAGCAAGTCCCAAAGAGCTGAATCGATAATAGATAAACGGTGGAATTTTATACGGACCTAACAAAAAACCATTTTCACATTCTTTGTCAATAAGCTGCCGTGCGAAGAAAGGTTGAGAGCGAGTTGAAAAGATATTCCCACATTCAATTGTCGGCATATCAGTACATTTAATCAAACCCCTCGTTTATCCCATGATACAAAGATGATTAACAAAATTTATATCCGGATGGGTTTGCAATAATTCACGTAACAAGTTAACATTGATCGGTGAATTTTCGATAACGGGAATTGTTACTAGTCATTTTTTCTCTTCGTTGATTGTAGTCGATCCTCTAGAAGATTTGTTCTTTTGAGTATCTTTGTTGCAGTTGAAGGCTGAATGAAAAGCGAAACAAAAACTGCAAATATGAGTCAAAGAACAACCCGGTCTTGCGCAACCCCTTGTAATGTTATAGTTATTGCAGATCTCTTTCCCATTGTGCAAAACTCGTGGTCTGACCCTCTTATCAACGCGATCGGAAGGTAGTCTATTCATCGGATATGTATTACGTTCTACTGATTGAGAAGAAAGAGGGCAAAAATTTGTTCCGTGAACGACAGCGTAACAAAGTATACAAACTTCTGGCCTTGCATGCGGAGTTAAAAGCGTAAGAATGTCATTGTCTTTTACTCCCCAGTCAAATTTAACTTTAAAATCCCGAAGTGCAGTTGCAGATTTGGCGGCAAAAAGCTTTTAATATTCATTAAATTTCTCACCATAACTAGATTCAATTTGTAAAATGTAAACTAGGTAACAATCTAATTCCTCTCTGCGTTGAGGAAACCCCTACACATGATGCGCTTATATTTACAAAAAGCGCATACGAACTTTTCAATAGTCAGCGATCTATGAAGCCGGATATCTTTTTTTCGCGGGAAATTAATTTCTAGACCAGTGCTAGTAAGAAAAGTACTAGCGGCCTGAACGGATTCGTAATCCTTCATCAACAAAGCAGCTCAGTTAACGTCCCTACCTTCAATGGTTTGCTTTTTAAGCGCTGGTGAAATGATATCCAAAAAAGCACAGACGATGGTGGCACTCCGTTAATTGTAGCTGTAGAGGTGTTAAGGGTGAGATTTATCCCGCAATTGCTTTCATTAGGAGAAACACCGTACCCTTTGTATAATGTAAACACATGATCATCTGCTGTGTGCACTTGAGGAAACCTGTTTCGGGTGTAGATTCCAAGAAAACTCCGCTGATAAGAAGTATTAGAATTTACCTGTTTGTGCTGTAGAATTCCTTAGTACCATTACAATTTCTGTTAAATTTCCTATAAGATATTGAAGTTCATAAGCGAATGACTGGTCACATTTTGTAAATTTGGCGAGCCTTCCTGGTCTTCATTCAACAATTGTTCAGGTTCGGAAACTGATTTGAGATTATCAAAATCAATTTGTTGTAACAATGTTTTACTTAATTTTGAAGTAATATTAATTCCAATATTTGTAAATTCTTCCTTGATTTTTTTAAATGACCAAGACGAACAGTCTCTTTCTTGTCTGTTGCTTGCAATTGAATCTGGAGAATATCGACTTGATGACTTCCTTTTTCTCCGAGAAGCCATTGTGTATAGTAATCCGCAAAAACATTCAAATGTTAAATACTAAACTTTAGATATATATATGAAGTGTTATATTAAATCCAATAATTTTGGTTAGACAAGAAACTGCTAACAAACTGAACGAAACAAGAAGACTACGCGTTATCTATCAAAATAATTTTCAATAGAAATTATTTTTAAGGCTATGATCTGACCACTAATTAAGCTATATATTCCTGACGAGACACAGAAACAGAATCAAACACCCGAAAGTCGTTATAAATCATTAAGATAAGAACTCTCAACCGAGCAAGAAAATGCAGCTGTCGAAACAATTATAAACAATATTATATGCTATATATTCAAATAATTTAAAATCTATATTATCGAGGAGTATTTTAATGGGGGTTTTTTTACCTCATCGATTATTACAAAATGATCAATCGTGTCGGATTCTTCTGCAATCTTCAAGCAATAATTAAATATTTTAAATATGAATAAATGTAGTTATCTATGGAATATTGCAAAACTTAAATATTGTGTAATATAAAACATTCAATCTGGAAACTAGACCCTTTCTCCTTGTTTGTTTTCACTAATTTTGTTGGAATGTACATTTTGTACTTGTATATTATTAATTCTTAAAACTGAAAGAAGATTATAAGACAAGTTACATCATGAGCGATTTAAGATTAACATAGAATAAAAAGATAAATCATTACTGGAAATGATTGTCATAGAAGTTTAAGTTTGTGTACCGTTAACCCTACGTGTAGTTCAACTCGTTCCTTTTCGTGGGAAGTTTCTATGCCAATTCAGCAGTAAAACAAACAATATTCAATCAAGATTTTTCAGTTTTTACCAATTTTTTTAATTTTTAATATTTCTTTGCAGTTAATTATCTCTCAAACATTTACGGAAAACACAAGATGATATTGTTTATGTGTCACGCAATATTTCCATTTGCTAACATGCAATCATATCATATTCATAAACAGATGCTATAAGACTACCATTCAAAGTGAATTATTTTCATGTTTATGACAAAGGGTTTGTTTCGTTGTGTAAGCTAAAATAAATTGCAGACATGAGGTTTGTTGTGCTCTTGGCAAGTCTGGTTTACTGTGGAAATGTTGTTTTGTGTCATGGTAAGTAAAACATATAATCGCAAAACAATTTTAAGAGTAAAACGAAAAAACAGGTAAGGGTTCTAATTAAAATATGTATTACACTACAAATTGGTAAATTAATATATTGGTTCATATTACCTGGTTATGCCGTACATGCTACAGACATATTCGATATAGAGGAGGATTATTTCATGGTTAATCTATATTGTCTTATACATTTTTTAGGGTTAATTGTTTTGTTGGTTCCTTACCCAGTGTCTAAAATAGCTTTAACTTTAAGCAGATTTTATGAACAATGACACCATTTTAAACTCCACTTTAATTAATCATGATCCATTTCTCAAAGCAAAGGCATTACAAAGATGAGCGTTCCACTTTTGTGAAAAAAAGCTCGAAAATAACAAAACAAAACAAAAATCAAATCTTTTAGAATTCACGATAGCGTATAGAAGGTTAACTTAGTACATGTAGGTTGTTAATATCATTTGATTTTCCAAATTTTTGGTCATGAGGTATATAATGAAGGTGTTATTTCAGAACCTCAATCCGCTTATTTTTATTGTTATTTTTACGCAATTTTGTGAAACTTTTAAAAAGCAAATACAAGTCACCAAAAACTACGAATCATTCCTAATTTTTTCCCATATTTTTTTTGTGAATTTAATTTTCTGTCCTCTTGTTTCTTTCTCTCTTTCGCACAAGTATTATTAATAACACGTGTTCTTATGTATGTTTTATTTGTACAGAAAAGGAATTAGTTGAAGATTTATTGAATATAATCTTTAAACTGAAGAAGAATGGAAGTTATGGAGCAGGTATTTAATCGTATACTAAGCAATAACATTTGTTATACCATGATAAAGAGAAAACCGAGAGTAACAAGTCTATGAGTACGTGACTGACCATGTAATCAGTATAAAGAAACCCTCGATGAAGTTTTTGAATTATACTACATTTCCTGTATCCCTTTGTCAAAATCCCTGCAATGAGAAGGTCCGGTAAGGGCTTATTTTGAACTAAAATTTGAAGTACATCTGATAAAAGATGTTTGACATTTTTTACACACTTAAGTGTCGTCTTCTTTCGATTCAATTAGTTTATGTAAAAGATTTGAACTGATATGGTAATAAAAGACGCCTAAATTCAAGCTTAAATATGAAAAATCTATCAAATATGCCACAAAACTTCACTTTTCAGATAAGTTTTGTCTAAAATGGAAGTGGCCGCGCCGCATTCGTGTTCAGTCTCAACCTTTATATATGTTATGTATTATCATCAAATACAACATAATTTTATATTCAAATATATTAAGACTGAACACAAGTGCGGCCACTTCTATTTTAGACAAAATCCGTCTAAAAATAAGCACAAATGCTAAAATTGTGAAGATTTCCGTAATTTTGCATGAATTAATGATGTTAGTAACTGATGCATGTACATTGTATTGTCAAAAGCTTACATTTTTAACAAATTTTTGAAATGCTATATTTTTTGGGCCAAAAAGGGCCTTACCGGGCCTTATCCTTTCATTAATTGCATAAAATATTGTTTTCGTAGCATTACATTTCCAACACCTAATTTTAATGTGTCCTACACCTGATTATGAAGCAACAAACAATCAGAAGGGAAGATAATTAGAATTCTCAATGAGTGAAAAATATTTAGCAACCTATTTGACAATTCTAAATATATAATTTTAAAAGTTTGATAAAAATCTACAAATTTTACAAACTAACAAAGTTTGATGTATCCATTAAGTTCATCAAAAAATATTGGGAATCTGAATGTGTCAAACGTTTAAAGCAAAACATATATTTCAATGCATATATATAGCAGTCATTCCTAAATATACGAAATTCTACCAACTGAGGGGCACAACAATATCGCTCTAATCAATAGACTTTGTTCGTCATATATTATATACCATCATCCATAACAATCATAATAATTTGTGCATTAATTATTTCATTCATCTGAATTGTTTTATAGCGTTACATTTGGTTAAAATTACAGGGTAATGACAACTCGTTTTATTGAGATGATGCTGCTTCTATTACAATCTGCGTGCTCATGTTTTACATTATTGTAAGCAATATTGCAGTTTTTCTAACGACAAATTGTAAAACTTTAGAGTTTTTTTTTTCAATGGCATTCACATAGAGTTGGTCATGCTTTGCTTCATAAAAAAAAATGGCCAACGTAGATACAAGAATCTTGTCTTAGGAAGGGATAAACCGTACTTTGTAAAAGCACTCTGATCGAAACAAAGCATTCTCTGAAACTGACATTATCAAGATGCTTGATTTCTTTATTGACAACATATTTGTTACGTTTGGAGGGTGTGTTTTTCAACAAACTGTGCTCCTCTTCTTGTAGACTTGTTCCTTTATTCATATGAGGCTGACCTCATACAGGAGCTTTTAGGAAGAAGGAAAAAAGTTAGCATTATCCTTTAATTTCACTATATAGATGAAGTTCTTTCACTTAATAATTCAAAGTTTGGTGACTACGTTGAACGTATCCATCCAATTGAACTTTGGATAAAGGATACAACAGATACAGTTAAGTCTGCCTCATATTTTGAATTACATCTAGAAATTGACAATAAGGATCGGTTGAAAACAAAACTTTACGACAAAAGAAATGATTTCAGCTTCCCAATTGTGAACTTTCCATTCATATGTATCAACATTCCAGCAGCGCCTGTATATACGGAGTATATATCTCCCAGTTGATACGATATTCCAGGGCTTGTATTTCCTATCATGATTTCCTTGATAGAGGGGTGCTGCTCACAAGGAAGCTATAAACCAAGAATTCTAAGTGGTGAAGATGAAATCATTCCTTCGTAAATTTTACGGTATTTGGTTAGGTTCGTGTTGCTAATTTCTTTAGTTTTCTATGTTGTTTATTGTGTACTGTTGTTTGTCTTTTGGTCTTTTTCTCTCTTTTGTTTTTTTCCATGGCGTTGTCAGTTTGTTTTCGACTTATGAATTTGAATGCCCCTTATGTATCTTTTGCCTTTCTTTCACGTTTCACAAGTTTAACTGAAATTTACCCTGAATTGACCGGCTCATACACAATTTTAACATATTCTTTTTGGAGTTGTCATTAGTTGATTAACTTTCAATGGACGTTAAATCAAACAATTTTGCTTTCATATATGTCCAGATATTGAAAAATATCGTCCTTTACAGGACATTGATTATAACTTCATTTGACATTATTTCTTATATGGCAAAATTTCTAAATTATTACAATATCGTTATTTACGAAATGATTGATTGATTTTTTGGTTTATTTCCACTGGCAAATACGTATTACATGAATATTCAGGACGATAATATGTTACATGTATTATGGTATGTAGATACCCTGCGTTGTACTAGACTGATATTTCGAGTCATAATTTTACAGTGCTAGATCACAAGGTAACATTCCGCAAGAAGACATGTCGCCTTATCCGAAGTCAAAATAACTGTGCAATATCAATTTTTCCATCTGCGGTTTTCGGTCTACCTTTGAAAATACAGTTGAACATGTGACTCTTTCTGAACGAAACAAATAAGTTTAAATATATGAAATAATAATATTACAATGTACAGAACTAACATATGCATTTATCCAATACTCACAGGTCGATTGGCTGTTCCAGCTTTTACTGTAACGTTGTCAAAGGATTTAACTCCGCAAGTCAATCAGATCATAAAATTTGACTCAGTTAAAACCAATATTGGTGGACATTACTCTCCTAGTACTGGAATATTTACAGCACCAAGGAACGGACTTTATATGATATCAGCAACAACAAGAGCTAATGGATCCAATTATCTGCATTGTGAGATGCAGGTCAATGGTGAGATGAAAGAAAAGCTCTTTGGCACCAGTGCCTCAACCGGAACTGCCAACGCTGTTTTACAGTTAAAAAAAGGAGACAATGTGTTCATAAAAAAAGACCACCGTGGTAGAGAAAATATGATGGGAAAAGACTGGTCAATGTTTTCTGGATGTTTTATTGCATAATATTCTTTTAATTTTGCATCAATAAAATATATTTCAATCATTTTGAAGTTTCTTAATTGTTTATGAATAAGCTTAGCAACGACCGACATATTACGGTATATTGTTGTTCGTATGCGTTTCTCTCCGTTTGTTTAATCATTTGAACACGTCTGCTACAACCCCTTTTTGAGTTGTTTATTTAATACAATGGGTGGTCTCATGAAGACAAGCACCCTTCAAATTTGACAAACAGATATCCAAAGTTATAAGACTCTGATCCTAAACACAAATTCCTTAGGTACATCTCATTGATATATGGTCAACATCTTGTTTCTTCATATATACAGGAGCTTATAAACCATTGAAAAAATTTAATTTGATTCGAGCGTCACTGATGAGTCTTTCGTAAACGAAACGGGTGTCTTGTGTACAAAATGTTAAGCCTGGTATCTATGATGAGTTTATTTAGATACCGACCGATAAAAAAACATTATTCAATTTTACAAGCATTTGAACTTACTAGTAACTAAGCAACTTTCTTTGTTGCAGCTCTACTTTTCAAAATTCAAAAAAAGGATCAACACATACAATATTCCAAATTTTAGTCAACGGACGGACGGACAGTGATTCCTTCTGTATCCACAAAAGTATATCTGAGGGGGTTTAATGAACCTAATGCCAGAAAACTATCAACAGACATAACGAAAAATCTCGACACAGTTGTTAGATGTCGGAATGACGGAAAGACGGATATGATTTATTCTATTTGCCTGTCTATTGAAAGCGGAGGAATGCAAAAAAATGAAGGTTTACATAGGTCTTTAAAGAAGGCGTATTTTCAGTAAATGAATCTCTATGCTACCTCTAGTCTAAACTAGTCGTAAATGATTTAATAGAGACTATCACAGATATCTGATATGTCATCAGCTTATTCATTTTTTTAAGGACAAATTTAAAGTGATTTTTTATTAAATCATGCCATCCGATCCAATGTGTTTCAAATTTACCATAGTGTGTTCTCAAATTTGACAAGAAGTATTATCCATTACATGAACAATGAACAGATTAAAACTTGCTTGAATATAAAAACATTAGGCAATGTTCAGCCAGTTCATTTAGAATTTATAATACATTATATGGTATATAAGGTTATACAAGAACTGTTCGTTATTTGAGACTCTACAAATTCAATGAAGATGTATATTTTTCTCGAAATAAATATATAAATGGGAATTTATATTTCATACAAGCTTCTTGTGCAACCCCTCATCAAATCTTAAAAAATCCTAATTGTCCTTATTATATTAATAATGGGATGGGAATAATTGTCTTTTTGAAGCAAACAACCGCCGTTTTTACTCTGACTCAATGGTGTTACCCTAAATGTTATTCAAAAACATTTTTCACTTTTCACAATTTCACTTACATAAACGAAATGACAAGTGGCTGTGATACAATCTTGAGTGGAGATAAATCGATGGAAATCTAACAGATTGCACAGAGATTTCACACAAGATTTACTATCAGTATAGACCAGTAGTCTGGTAAGTTTTTATGTTGAACAAATTTACTTCTAATACTATTATTAGTACTGTCATGCCGTATTTAGCATTCTGATACTTTTGCATAGTATTCCAAACGTTTAAGGAAAACTAGGTGAAAGCAACATCAGGAATACTGACCTAGGATATGTAGAATACCATATTCACGTTAAATGATTGGACATAAAAAGTTGTCCATTACATAAATACAGGACTATAAATGTAAATTATTGTGCCTTAAAGTACAAATTGCTGTAATGCTAATGACAATGATAATGGTCAAACCTAAAAATAGTATAAAACAAAAGCATAACTATACACATTAATCAAAGTGATTTGCGGTATACCGCGTTATTAAATATGTTGTGCTTTTTTCTCTCACTTGTCTGAAGGTATTTCTCCATAAGGCACCAATTACTTATGCCTTGTGTTCATTAAGTAGTCAAAATACATTGCCTGATGCACTTGTGTCAATACCAACATACTATTAATTTTATTTTAATATCATGTTGCGTTTTTTTGTTTTTTTTGTTTGTTGTGTTTTTACATGTCTACTGTCTAGTTTGCATATATCATTGTTCTGCAAATGTCTAAAATGATATTGTTTGGTGTGTTAAGGCCCTCCTAGGGTCCTAATTTGTTGAATAAAAATATTCTATTCTATTCTTTTCTATACACCAATCATAAAATGGGAATTAATAAATATTATACTTTAAACCACAATTTATAATTTCTGCTCAAGTTCCTGGTGCAATAAGGATACCATTGTTAGCAGATGTGTTGCTCGTGACAAGTAAAAATAACAGCAGTAAGTCATATTCAGTATTAAGCGTGACGGGGAAAGGTGGTTGAATGACACGGATATTTTGTAAGAGTCAACCTAGTCATAATGGCGTTTGTAAAACTATGACGTGACCACTACAATTATACCAAACCTTGAATCAGTAGGTTCCTTGTAAGCAACAACCCTCTATCAAGGAAATGTTTATGGGCAAGGCAAGGTCTTCAGATATCCCATCAACTGGATGTATACATCTATACCCCATATTCAAGTGCTGCTCGAATATTGATATATATAGATATGGAAAGTTCGCAATGAGAAAATACATGTCATCTCTTTTGCTCTAAAATCTCACTAGCTCTCTATCTATCCCCTTTGTCAATTCTTAAATGTAAATCAAGATATGAAGCTGATTCAACTGTGTCTGTAGTATCCTTTATTTCCAGTTCGATTGGAGAAAGGCGATCAACAGTCACAAAAATGGGAAATAACCAGTAAAATATTGGTTAATTAATTGATTATTGTTTTCTTAACGTCCAGTGGTAAATATCACATACATGTACATGACGATTGAGAGCGAATAAACAATGAATGCAATAGTTAGTTTCTGCAAGGTAGGGTCGACCGTGATGAAAGGCGGGAAATTTTGACTCACTGTGATATGAGGGTATGTTGGATAGGGACACACATTTTGAATTGCAAAAGGCCACCTACGGACCCCTCACACAATTTTTGCACGGGTTCGTTAACGTGCATAGAGCGTGACACTCTCTCTCAACATGGCTTCTGATTTAACGCCCCCATTCTGACAGGGAGTTGGCTGCGCATTGTACATCCCACACAGTCAAGCGGACGTACAAACTTTTGCTGTCGGTAAGACGAACACCAAGGTGACCATATTTCTATACCCTTGTGTGTATCAGCAAAAGAACATTATCTATATGGCCGAAGGTAAAGTTGATGAAATCGCTGGCTTCTTTTGTTTTTCTTAAGACACCTCTATATACAGAATGTTTCTTCCAAACAAAAAAAAACAAGTCAGTAAGAAAAGAATCAAAATTGGATCCCATATTGCTTCCAATAGTTAAGCACGTCCACAAATATGTTGTCAGTAAAATAAAATCAAGATTCTTAATGATGCCTTATTTATTTTTTGTTGGAATCAGAATGTGTGTTTTTGACGAATTATGATTTGTTCCTACCTAAGACAATTCGTACCTCCGTTTACCATTTGTTTTTACTTGGACTACTTGTTTGAATTCTAAAATTAATTTTAAAACGGGATGCTTGAGTAAATGGCGAAGAAATTGAACGTTAAATTAACACTACCGCATGAAGAGAGGAATTTGAATTGTATATACTCTACAAATATTTTGAACAAACATCTGCTTCAGTGCGCCCCTCGATATGCGGCCATATTTCCACAGTCACTCTGAAATTCGATTCAGATTACTGATAGAATAGATATTAGTATTTTAGAAAGAGGTTTTGTATTTGGCCAACCCATAAGACATATTTAATGTTAAAAAATAATAAAAATATATGACTTCTTTTTTTACACATGATAATCCGATAATACACATGTTCCCCATCTACAAATGTATTCTTCCAGTGGACAGAACTAGTTTTATCATAAATAAGAGTTCTACAATTAATAATTTAAAATTATGTATTCTAGGATTTTTTTTTTAATCGTTTCAAATGTTTTACAGAAAAATGAAGACCCTAGTACTACTTGTTCTGTACACGTCAGCCGTATACTCTCAGTTTCAGTTGAACAAACTTAGCTACTTAAAACTTCCCTATACTACCAACAATGATTATGGATTTTTAAGAAACGCTGCTCACAAAGCTGCTTATGATTCACAAGAACGGATACTGTATGTGTTAGGTAAGGTGTGTGAGTGTGTATGTGTGTTTTCACTTAAGTATGCTTATATACACTGTAATTAACGAATCTGTATTTTGTTAAACTAAAACGTTGAAGAGCTTATCAAACCAAAAAAGACAAGTATAGCCAATGAAATCTAGACATGCGAGGTGGAGATATATTCCTCGATTTAAAACGATTTTCAAAATTTTATAATAGCAAATTTAAAATTAAACAATATCATGCACGTAGCTCAGTACTGGCTACTGAGCTTGTGAAACCCTTAGGGACTAACAGTCCACTGGCAGAAGTAATCTCATAAACAGTACCAGTTTACTGCACCAGATGCGCATTTCGATAGTTAATGTCTCATTAGTAATTCTCGAGGCCGAAATGAAAAAAATGATACAAACGTTGAAGAGCTGATCTATCCAAAAAGGACCTTAGTATAGCCTAATCCGCCTAAGTATAATGTCAATCAACTCTATAGACTTTCTGTTATTTTTATTGAAATTCAATCATTGGTTTGGAAAGAATTGCGGATAAAAAGTGGTATCATATAAATACGATTAACGAACGTATCGACTCAAAAATTCAAAATATGCCATTTTCAGCGATCATGTTAATTTTTTCAGTTTTGATTTTGATTTTTAACTTTTTCTCTTTAATTAATAGCTTTTCGAGTTAGATAGAGAGCACTATTTGCCTTTTTCAGTGCTATTAACACGAGATTTTTGTATTGTACTTAGTAAATCTCATAGTAATTTGTACACATTTAAGTTTAAGTCAGGACAAAAATCATAATTAACTTCTTCTAAGCTTCTACCAATCCTCGAATCAAATGGGCATTATAATTCGGATGTGACAATTATTTTTTTGTGGATTTAACACTGCAAATATAGATGCTTTGAAGACTTCTCCATTTCAATTAATTGACAAATATTACATAGTTTATATATCGTTTTCCATCAAAATATTGTACACTGAGCAATGATGCGACTGCTTGAAATATTAAATCTTGCTAATAACCACTTAAAGGGCTATGCCTTTAGACATCTTGAATATTTAGAGGCAATCATAAGAAGCATGGGGTGTAAATGTACCAATACGAAAATTATTCTGATAGTGTTGTACATTATTAGTTGCTTTTATTAAAATCACCGGTTGTGATTAGTAAAGTGTTGCACCAAAATAAAATTAGTAATTAGATTATAAGAGTAAAGGCCCGAATATTATTTAAATATTTTACAATAATGATCGTTAATTTTTTCCTTTTTAAACTTTTTGAAAGGAAAACATCAAGATCGTCTTATGCTGATATGTTTTCCTAGGCGATACTTGATATACTAGTATATTATTTGATAAGACGACACTTGTATATTTGTTATAAGGTTAGCAATCTATATTTGAGGCTTTTAATACGACCCAGTTATGGAGTATTTTTTATACAAAAATGGAAACAAGTTCGTTTTCTTAGAATTAAAATTATATACTTGTATTCTTATTCTTATTTTGTTCCGAATTTTATAACAAAAGAACCGAAAGAAGAAATGAAAAGATAACGGATTTGATTTCAGGTAGTCAATCAGGAGCCAATCAACCACGTCTTCTTCATGTTATTGATATTTCTAACCCGTCCGCCCCTAATAAACTCTACACCCACTCATTTGATGCTGTTGACAATGGAAAGGCAAATGATATTGCCGTTTGTGGTGACACGGTAGCGGTCAGCATAGAATCATCGTTAGCCACTAAAGAAGGACACGTGGAACTCTTTAGAACTTTTCAACGTGGTAATGTTCAGCTAGTTAGTTTTGGAAGAGAACAAGGTATAACATAATTTGATGTTGAATTCTATTTGTTCAATAGGCTTATTGAAAACGAATAGAATTAATCTGCAGAGATTATGAAAAAAACCAAACTTTGTGTTGCTCATATGCTTCTTTTTGTAATTTTATTGAGGTGTAAAAGCGTGGACCGAAGCACATTATGTATGAAGCTTGGAAGCGCTTCAAACTAAAAATGTGCGCATGATCAACGCTTTTACAACCTATAACATAACAATAAAAAAAGCATTCAATTGTTATAATTACATATGCTACAACCATGAAATAAGTGTTATATCAAATTTGTCGGTTGTTTTCCTATGCATTCTTATGACGTTGTCACAGGAAGCACATAATGTCATGAATGTTGAATTTTATTTGTAGATAAAATCTGATTTTAGAATTTAAGAATGCATCTCGATTGGTGTTAGCCAATCAAAAGTAAGGATTCTAATGAAACATACATGTAATGTAATTATTGACGTATATACAATGCTTCACTGTTCCATATTTTCTTGTTTTCAAATAGAAACGTGAAAAAGGGCAAGATTATATAAAATTAACACTTAAAGTATAACTCTTTAATGTTGTTTAAAAAAAAAATTAACAGTTGGAGTTGATCCTAAAGGACTTGCTTTTACGTCTGATTGCCAGAAGCTTATCATCGCTAATGAAGGTCGTGGTAACTTGGATGAAATTGCTCAGTCTTTTGTTGATCCACCAGGGACAGTAACGATTCTCCTTAGAAATGACGTTGGGTCTCCAGCTTTGGTCACAATCAGTTTCGATCTGTTTTTATCTGGCAGGTATTTTTTATTACGTGAATAAAAAAAAAAAAAAATGATGTTGTGAAATTTTAAATCAAGAAAGAAAAAAATAGACTCAACAATTATATCAATCCCAAAAAATAGGAATTTCCCCACGGAAAAGATATCAAAAGACATCAAATGTATATGTATTTGATAGTAGCAAGATTTTCAGACGTTCTTGATCAAGATAGCATTGCTCCTACTTTACTTAAGGTAGATTCACGGTAACCGCCATCTTGGATTGTACTATCGCAGTACACAATAAGTCTAGTTATTTGCCCAAATCTGCAAATGTGTAGACAGATGTGCAATTTTATTGGTTAGACTGTTTATATATATGAAGAAAACTTGCTGATTTATTGCATTATCCAAAATATTTAAACAAATAAAAAACATTTGTGTTTTAGAATCATTTTTTTTCAACTAAGCCATTCAAGGGGAGATAACTCTTTCAGTAAAAAATTTATACTGGACTGATAGGGAAATTTTTTATTTTTACTTGTAGCAAGATAACAAGTTCGGGGACCCCATTTTTTCTTTTTATTTTCCTAAAACATATTATAAAACCTATCTTCTCACAATTTATTTCAAAATTCTATCTCATAGATTTCTTTTTATGCACAAAAATGTTTTTTTTATGATCATTCTAACCAAATTTATGCAATTTTCAACGACTAGTAGCTTGAAAAATAGCACGGTGACCCATCTTTTTTATTATATTTTTAAAAAGAGCATAGTAAAATCTTCATTTTGGCAAAGTATAAGAAAATTCTATCTCGGGAAACATATACCTATGATCTACCTTAAGAAAACAACAGAGAAAAATACAGCAAAAGGAAACACATGCATAGCATGAAATTGCGTACAATGAAATGATAGACCAAAAGAGGTAATAATTATATCAGTTTGAATTCTTATATCTGAATGTTTTGAACTGTATGTTCATACGTACAAAAACGTAATCGAGTATAATTGATTTCAAATTTTTGGTAATCATAAATACAACTTTACATGGTCTCCAAAATCTCCCTGTATTCATATATATCAAAGTCAACAACAGCTATGTACCACAGAATAAAAGCATATTGATGAAGCAGCTAACAAAGTAACAATAATAAAAGGAAATGCAAGAATATTAAATTTTTATTTAAAACGTCTTATATTGACCGCATATATTATATCATGATGGTTCATACTTTTGCAAATATAAGTCTATATTATTTCATGAACTGTAACTGTTACTTTTGTTTTACAAATAAAGCTACTAACTAAAAGATTTGAACCAATTTTCCTATTCAACTTCAACAGACTAAATTGAAATCGTGCATAGGAATTTGTAGCAAATCTTAATCTGGACTTAGGTCCTTTTAGAGTGTTTCAACCCAGATTTACTTCTTTCACCCTTTGTTTATTTCTCCACGTAGTTTTTGGTCGATGTTCATAAATCCTGTATTGCTGCATGTTTTCGCTTAGGGAAACCGAGTACCAAAATAAAGGAGTAAGGTGGGTTTATCGAGGAAACCATAATGCTGGTATAATAAACAAAATGTCTGACGACCTTGAACCTGAACAAGTTACCATTAGCAACGACCAACGATTCGCTTATATCTCTCTTCCTGTAAGTATGCAAAGTTTTGTTTGATATTAACTTTTTTAATATTATTTCAGTTTATGCGCAACTGCATATGTTCTGTAAGTTATTCCCAGATATGTGTCAACTTTTTATTCTCAGAGATGTGTCAACTTTTTATTCCCAGAGATGTGTCAACTTTTTATTCCAAGAGATATGTAAACTTTTTATTCCTAGACATATGTAAACTTTTTATTCCAAGAGATGTGTAAACTTTTTATACCCAGACATATGTAAAATTTTTATTAATAGAGATGTGTAAACTTTTATTCCCGGAGATATGTAAACTTTTTACGAATTGTTAGTAGCCATTTGCCTCATTTCAATGACTGTATACTGTTGATTTTTTTGCAACATTACTGCGAATTTGTTCTTCAAATTTAATTTGAATGGTAAATTTTAAAATTGTATTGACTCCAATCTGAACTATACCAGTCAGTTATCATACCTTTTGTAAACTCTCCGTTGATTAATTTAGTAGAAAATGATAAGAAACTAAAGTTCCAACTCCTCTTGGCAAATTTTACATGGATTTTGGCTGTTCTTTTTGGTGCTTTTTGATCATATATATGTAGCTCCTCGTGTATTTGAAATAGATATACTAGTATTAAGAAGATGTGGTATGAGTGCCAATGAGACAACTCTCCATCCAAGTCACAGTTTGTATAAGTAAACCACTATAGGTCAAAGTACGGCCTTCAACACGGAGCCTTAGCTCACACCGAACAGCAAGCTATAAAGGGCCCCAAAAATGACTAGTGTAAAACCATTCAAACAGGAAAACCAACGGTCTAATCTATATAAAAAACGAGAAACGAGAAACACTTATAAAATTGAGAATGGAAATGGGGAATATGTCAAAAAGACAACAATCCGACCAAAAAGCAGACAACAGCCGAAGGCCACCAATGGGTCTTCAATGCAGCGAGAAAATCCCGCACCCGGAGGTGGTCCTCAGCTGGCCCCTAAGTAAACCACAACAACAAACGACAACCACTAGTCAATAGGTTCCTGACTAAGGACAGTACTTATATATCCTTGGTCATTAAATTTTTGGTTTGAGCGTTCCTCATAAGGGTAAATCCGAAAAGCGCTTCGGACTAACCAAAGTATTATTTTAATAGTTCAGACCAAGTTTGAATTGTTCTTGACAACGTTTGATCCAAGTTTCATGTGCAGCTACGAAAAAAAAATTGTTTTCAATTCAGACTAGGTCCAGCATATTTCAGACTCTTGAAACTTCCGGTCACAATCGATGAGGATCATTTAGACTATTTGTAAAAAAAACCTTACTGTTATTGTTACATTTAGTATAAATAAATGCGAATGCTACTTTTCTTTTCATACTCTTTTCTGGTGTATAGAGATCGTGAAAAAAAAGAATCGTGAAAATTCCAAATCTGCATGCTTACTTAAATGTTAAGGCTAAATAAAGGTTTTATTTTGTTTTTTATGTCTTATTTTTTTTTTTTTTTTATTTTTGTGTGCTCTTTATACGCCCGTCAATTTTTGACGGGACGTATTATGGTATACAAATGTCCGGTGTCCGTCCGTCTGTCTGTCCGTCTGTCCGTCCGTCCGTCTGTCTGTCCGGCGTAAACATGTCGCACCGTAACTTGAGAATGACTTATCCAAATTTCATGAAACTTAACATAGTTGTTTCTTATGATTGTCAAACGATCTGTATACTTTTTGGATAAATAAGATTGAAACTTTTGAAGTTACGGGACTTAGTAACTAAAACAGGTGTGTGTTTTTTTTTCACATGTCGCTCCGTATCTCAAAAACAATTTATGATTATTGCTTAAAACTTCACACACTTCTTAGTTATATTAATCTTAAGATCTGTATACTTTTTGGTGATGATTCAAAATTTTATTTTAGAGATATTGAGTATTTTGTTAAAAAAGGGGAGGGTTTTTTCACATGTCGCGCCGTATCTCAAAAACAGTTTATGATTATTGCTTTAAACTTTACACACTTCTTAGTTATATTAACCTTAAGATCTGTATACTTTTTAGTGATGATTCAAAATTTGATTTTTGAGTTATTGAGTATTTTGTAAAAAAAGGAGGAGGGGTTTTTCACATGTCGCGCCGTATCTCAGAAACGATTTATCATTATTGCTTAAAATTTTACACACTTCTTAGTTATATTAATCTAAAGATCTGTATACTTTTTGGTTTTGATTCAAAATTTTATTTTTGAGATATTGATTTTTTTTTTTTAAAAGGGGGGTTTTCACATGTCGCGCCGTATCTCAAAAACGATTTATCATTATTGCTTAAAAGTTTACACACTTCTTAGTTATATTAATCTAAAGATCTGTATACTTTTTGGTTTTGATTCAAAATTTTATTTTAGAGATATTGAGTTTTTTGTAAAAAAAAAAGGGGGGTTTTCGCATGTCACGCCGTATGTCAGAAACTATTTATGCATATTGCATAAAAATTCACACACAAGACGACGGGCGTATCATGCGCTCATGGCGCAGCTGTTTATTTTTTTTGTTTTTCTCAAAGCGTGAATAAAGTACAATTTGTGGCTGGCACCTAGAACTGTTCACCACGCATTGGTGGACTTCTAATAAATGTTCTCCATCGAGTCTTGAATACATCAGTGGGTGTTATGTGTTGAACAACGATTGTAAAAGAAGTGGGTTGTGGCTCTCAAAATTTAGGAAGGTCGCCTTAAAATAATTTGCACGCCGATCGGAGGAGTTTCATCAGGTTTATGTAAATAGATGAATGTTTTAAACAGCTACTTCAAGAAAGTCAAAATGAAAGTATTTTTTACAAAAAGTATATGCATTGGGGAATACTTATTAATTTCTCAGGAAAAAAGTGCCTTGTATTTTTTAACGGGTGTAATTTTAGAAATCCCTTTAAATTCCAGATCTTTTAATTTCTTATATTTTTGTCTATATCAATCTATATATTATACATAAACATAACGTTTCTTTTAACAGGAAAATAATGCAGTTGCAAGAATTGATATCAATGCATATAATGTTAATGAAATATTTCCTCTTGGAGAAAAGAATTGGCAGTATTTCGGTATCGATTGCAGTGATCAAGATGGAGGTATAATAATATGTTGTTATGAATTTTAAACTAAAGCCTTATCTTATCCATTAACAAATAAAAAAATTTACAAAAGCAAACCGTCATTCGTTAAATTAAAGGTGTAAACAGAACAAAATGCTCCGAAACACACTTTTTTATTTATTTTTTTATTTTTCTATTTTTTTTTTATTTTTTTTTTTTTTGGGGGGGGGGGGGTCTTTTTTATTGTTTATGTTGTTATTTTTAAGGTATGATGACTTGACTTGTACTACTCTTAATAAAGGATGATTTGCATATGAAAGTGTCTTTAATAAAGTTGAAAAATTTATTGTAGTTTAATATCTCGTAGAGTCTGATCCTCTGTAAATGGATTATAAAGAAACTTAGCGTATTGTTTACATATATTTTAATATTATCATTTCCTTTGTTTAAGGGGGGAAATTATCGTTCTATCCGGTTTATTCCATGAGACAAGCTACTGATATTGAGATCACTACTTTCAATGGTATGGAGGTTATATTAACTGCAGAACAAGGAATGATAAAACGATATACTGCTGCCCAAGGCGACGAATTTGACGAATCTAAGCGAGCAAGAACAATTGCCCAAGGTTAGTAAATCATATTAATCTTATAAAAATAAAAATAAAAATAATTCAACAACTCTCATGTGAAGATGGATATTGACCCTCTAATACTTTAGCTGAATATTCATGAGATGTTGGTATTGTATGATTTTAGTATGAAGTCGATTTTCACTGAACTAGTACACATTTTTGTTTAGGGCCAGCTGAAGCCCGCCTCCGGGTGCGGGATTTTCTCGCTGTGTTGAAGACCCATTGGTGGCCATCGGCTATTTTCTGCTCTTCGGTCGGATTGTTGTCTCTTTGACACATTCCTCATTTCCATTCTCAATTTTATTGTGTCCTTTAATATTTTATATAACTTATTTTAACGCCATGCGTATTGAATTATAGGCATTTCGTACCCCGACCATTTCGTACCGCTCATTTTGTACCCTCGGTAAAACCATTTCGAACCCTGACCATTTAGTACCTTGACCATTTCGTACCTCATGGAATATTTATATGTATGCCATTTCGTACATCATGGAAGATTTGTATGTATGCCATTTCGTACCTCATGGAATATTTAATTATTCACTTACATGTATCACAAATCCTTCCTTTGGAGAAGACGTTACTAAAGTGTAAAATGTGTCTGATATATGTGTTATGTTTAAACTAGACAAAATGCAATGAAAAACTATTACAGATGCCATGTACTGCTTGGTTAAACAAATCATAGGACTTAAGAAAATTTCAACTGCTCTAAGCATTTTATTTATGTTTTATTTATTTTTTTAAATTAAAATCATCTCAAAATGTTTTATAACATATTTTACTTCTTTATGCGTTTATCTAAACAATAATTGTTTGTATATCTTGTTGAATGGACCAGTATGCATTAAATATAAATAATTCTAAAACTTATAATGATGCAGTATCGAGGGTCCTCCCTTTGTTAAATTATCTCCAATACCTTTGTAGGTATAACATTGAAAATATTTACAAATATATGATACGAAATAGAAAACATGTATTCAGTCAATGAGGTTCAAAATGGTATATGCAGCTGGCCCATATAGTACGAAATGGTTTTGATCATAGGTTCGAAATGGTAAATGTTGGGTACGAAATGGTAATTTTGGGTACGAAATGGCAGAGGTACGAAAGGGTCAAGGTCCGAAATGACTTGCTACCTGCGTATTAAGGTCACTGTGACTTTTAAGATAAAAGACTTCAGTAAAATTTATTGAAATTATTAACTCTATGGTCGGGTTGTTGTCTCTTTGACACATTCCCCATTTCCATTATCAATTTTATTGAGATAAGGATATACTCCATATAAAAGTATAGTCTGTATCATTAAAATTTTATCTATTTGATCAGTGAGCTCAATGATATGCGTGATAAAGTCGCTGTGACCTTCAAACATATCAGCAAAATGATTTTTATTAACATTTTACCCCAAATCTTAGAAGATTTAATTCATCATTTTCATATAACAGCACAAAAGTTTACCCACAATACGTCAAAAAAGAATTATATTGCCATATCGGGGCCTTGATGGCCGACTGGTCTAAGTAGTCGAACTATTGTATCACTAGCCTGTCAACACTGAGGTTGTAAGGGTAGAATCCCGCACATGGCAGGTGCGCTCGACTCCAATCTTAATTGATTAGGATTGTCAGATTTCCTACCGAAGGTCGATGATTCTCTCTGAGCACTCCGGCTTCCTCCATCAATAAAAACTGACCGCCACGAAATAGCACAATAGTGTGAAAGTGGCGTTAAACTTCAAACAATCAATATTGCCATGTTTATAACAATCTGTCACAAATGTTCCTTTTATCGTAGTAAAAATTAAACAGATTCAATAAAAAATCAAATCAAATAAGTTAACTTCTGAAAGATGAAAATTGTTATTTACAAATCTTAAGGTTGTTACATTAAAAATAACAACAGTTTCTTAAATGGTTTTTTTTCAATATAGAATGTATATTTTTTTTTAATGGAAAATTTACGGCTAGTCAGCGTGCTTGTTTTCTAGATAAAAGTATTGGTTATCTATAAATCTATAAATAGCCGGGTTTTTTTTTAATTTAAAAAGTAGAAAAAGAAATGAATGATAAACTCTGCGAAAAAATGTAATACAAGTAACAAGAGTATGAAAATTATATGTCAGAAGTATATTTAAAAACTTAGATGATTTAAATACACGGAGTAATATAGAATTTTTAAGCACACATATTAAATGCATTGACTAAGAAAACACAGTGATGCTTATATCATAGGAAAAGTTGAAAGAGAGTAGCAAGCATTTTTGTGACCTAAACGATTATTTATTTAACAGAAGGGAGAAAAACAAATAATAATATTTAACCATAGCGCACACACCTTTAAATACAGTCTATACTGGGGCATTTCTCTTTTATGTTCACCAATTACCACTATGTAGTCTGATTTTCTACCTCGTCATCCAGGAACTTTTGCTGGAGTCGGCTTTGGTAGCCACGTTTTGTTTTGAACTTTTGACGTAAACTTTTATGAGTGTAGCTAAATAGTCAATGAGACAGTAACCCATCAAAACAAAGAAGATGGACAAAAAGTGATCTACGATGTGCGGCATATATTCTTGACCGTCATATAACTTACGGCGTTGATAGTAAAAAAAAATATGACGTCACATATTTTTTCGCGAAATGAGATGTTTTCTATGGTAATCGAAATTCATTTAGGAAGAGGATGAATGGCAACTACTTGATCCTCAATTATGCAATACCCAGACCATTCTTCATTTGTCTTTGAAGTTTGTTTCAAATGCCAATACATAACATGAGTCGCGGTGTGTGCACCTTTACCGACAGCTCCCAAAACGACATCTATAAATAAGAAAAAGAATAAAAATAAAATGAAACTTTACTTTTTCTTTGGTTTTAGATGGCGAATTTGCTGAATCAGATATTTCATGGACGGCTGACCTTTCAGCAGCAGTGCGCGATAACCAACGTCTTGGTAAGTTCTCGTACTTCTAAATACAAGTTTGTTCCCTTTTTATTTTTAGACAGCAAACTATGAAATTACTGTCAATATTTTATTTGGTTATTTAAAATATGAGGCATGTGTTAACAATCCTGGTATCTTTGATGAGTTTATTTACAACCACTGGGTCGATGTCACTGCTGGTGGAGTTTTTATTCCCCGAGGGTATCACCAGCCCAGTAGTCAGCAATTCTGTGTTGACATGAACTATCATTGATATGGTCATTATTATAAATTAATCGTTTCCAAAAGTTTGAATTTTTCGAAAAACTAAGTATTTTCTACCCCAGGAATGGATTACCTTAGCTATATTTGGCAAAACGTTTAGGAATTTTGGATCCTTAATGCTCTTCAACTTCGTACTTTATTTGGACTTTTCAACTTTTTCAGCGTCACTGATGAGTCTTTTGTAGACGGAACGCGCGTCTGACGTATAACATTTCAATCCTGGTATCTATGATGAATTTATTTACTTGTCAAAGAGGACGAAATCCATATAACTATAGTGTATTGTCGTTATTTCTTTTGGTATTCAGATAAACCAGAGAAAAAGATAATTAGGACTTCCTCCTCTATTAGTTTTCCTTTCCTGAAGGTTAAATTTTAAGTCCAATCAAAAATAACATCGGATATTTTTCTGAAGTTATTTTTTAAGAATATCAAGAAGCATTGCAGTGCGCTACTTTATGTTATAGAAAATATCCTGCTTTTAAGTATCAAAATTGAAAGTTTTCCTATAAATGTATCAACGTAAAGTGATAGTAAAGAAGACTTGAAATATTTACTAGTTCTCAAGAAAGGGGTAGAATATACCAGAGGGATAATCAAAATTCATAAGTCGAAGATAAAATCATGACAAAGACAGAAAGCAATGAAAAGACAAACATCAGTCGACAAAACACCCCGTAAAAATCTAAAAACTGAGCAACACGGACCCCCCCCCCCCCCAAAAAAAAAAAAACGGAGGTAGTAGGATTACTAAGTAACCTTTAAGAACAAGGATGCGCTTGTTGATATATACGTTTCAAATAAATTTACAGGTCGATGGCAAGTGCGGCATTCAGATGCCCCTAAATCCGCATTGGGTTCTATTGAAACTGTTCAGGGTTACGGAGGTCGTGGTATTTCTGTTCATCAGACACAAACCTTTACTAGACTGTACGACACTGAAGATGAACTTGAAAGAAAGGAATTGGAAAATTATGCGTTAACTTTCAATGGTGATGCAAGTAATAGTGCCTATTCTCCTCTTCAGGAAATAGATGAAAGATCTGATGATCATGTAAGTTGTGCTGCCTTTAACAAAAAGATTCAATCGGCGTCATTACTATTTATATTATGTTTTTTTATATAAATAATCTTATTTAATCGTAAATATTCCAAGTCAATATACAAAAGATCAATGATAAGTATGATTTTTATAAATAATTTAGTTCCGGGCTTTAACAAAATGAAATTACAATAAACAGTTGTCTCTGTTTTTGTCTGATATGAAATGTATAAGTACAAAAATACAAAATGGCACTTACATTTTTACTGAACATCTTATTAGTAATAGTGCATGTACATTGAGAACAAAGGTAACAAATTTTCAAGATAAACATGCCATAACATAATTAACATAAGAATCACACACATACATCTTTTATCTCATGTTAAATAAATACATTGGTTTTCCTGTTTGAATGATTTTACACTAGTCATTTTGGGGGCCCTTTATAGCTTGCTGTTCGGTGTGAGCCAAGGCTCCGTGTTGAAGACCGTACTTTGACCTATAATGGTTTACTATTACAAATTGGGACTTAGATGGAGAGTTGTCTCATTGGTACTCATACCACATCTTCTTATATCTATCTTGATATTCCAGGGTCCAGAACCTACTGCTATAGCAGTTGGTATGTTCGATTCCACACCTATGGTAGTTGTTGGAACAAAAACCGGGCTCATTCATGTTTATCGTGATGTTAATGCTGCTTTACGACATGAAAGTGTGCACCGTGAAGGACAAATAGCTCAAACTTGGAATACGCTGTACAAAAACAACCAGACTGGTGATAGCGTCATAACAGATATCGGGTATGTATTGATATGACTCTCATTTTCTCCTTCTGATACAAACAAGATTTTTTTACATTGGGTTATTAAAAACATAATTTAAGTGGTATCAGTTTACAATTACAGGTTAATACATACTATAAAAAAATGATCACAAACAAAATTTGAATAATTTCATTATCCATGGAGTCAATTATAAGTGAAAATGTAGAGCGTATTAATATTATGTTCTAGTATAAAAATATTTTCTTCCTTTAAGTTCCTTCAGAATAAATTTTTAAAAGTTATTTCTAATCCAAGTTATAAAAGGACCCTTTTCTATTTTGGATTTGAATAATATAGAGCTAAAGAAAGCTGATGCCAAACTATCTATATGTTTGGGTTTTTTTTTTCATTTATAAACGTGTTAATATAAAAACATGACGGTATTAATTCAAAGGAACAAACGTTTTTACTTTCATGAAATTACATGACTTGAAATCATACAATTGTTCCAATTAACAAAACTGATAAATATGATTTAATTTTTAGGATTATCAACCAAGCTCAATCACCAAATGGAAAAGTTTTAGTTTGGGCTATTGGTTCTGCGTCAGGATCCCTTGGCATCTATGAGCTGCAGTTTGTCAGCAACTGATACCAGTTTTATCGAAATTTTACGATTTATATAGAACGGGTTACCTAAAATAAAGCATGTTTTCATATAATTCGTTTTATTTTTTATAACTCTACATACTCGGGGTATCTACTATTATATACATAACACATAGCTGAGAGGGTGATAGAGCAGATTGTTACCCCGAGAAAATATTGTCAACTGAGGCGAAGCCAAGGTTGACAATGTCTTTTCGAGGGATAACAATCTGCTCTATCACTCTCTCAGATATGTGTTATTTAATTAGTTATATAGTATGTTCTGTTATTACTGTCTATTGAGTTTCAAATTAAAAGAAATACACTATGACGTCTTGTACATAACAACCATCCGTATTCAATAAAGCGCACATTTGATCAAGCGTCTCCGTGAAGGATAATAGAGTAAATTGTCTCCTTCGTATCAAACCAATCAAAGTCTGGCATTTTGACATGAAGTATAATAAATAAATATAACTAAAGGTATGTAAATGTCGAAAATATGTAGGATTTACCATGTACAAAGCAATGTCTTTTTCAATTATTGTATGCATCATGTATTCTTTTGGGTTACAAAAGTCAACGCAGCACAAATTAAAGGCATCAGTAGTTTACCAAATCTCATAAATCCATTTAAATGATACAAATCAGACAAAACATGGAGGAAATTGTATTAAATCCAAAAGGATCGAGACAGGGTTGGTCGAGAGGGTAAGCCATGCATTCGTTTTTAAACACCCAAATCATCATTTAGACTCAACGGACAGACCACATCATCTCCTGATTTTTATATATGCATCAGATTTATAAAATATAGCAAGCTTTATTACAATCTCGAGTCATAATGATTGGCCGATTGGTAGTTTTTCAAATCAACTTTAGAAATCTTAATATACGTATTTATATTATTTGCATATTGAATAAAGAGAAATATAATGTGACACAAACCCAGTTATTTTAAGTTTGATCTCAAGGAATAATCTTGCCTCGTGATAGGAAATAATCGATCCTTTTTCAAAAGAATTTGCATACATGAACTTGCAAATGTGCTTAATACAGGTACGGTTATTTACTTTCCCTGGTGATAGATCAGTACCTTTTTTATCTCATCCCTTAAGATATTCTACATTATAAAAATAAGAAGACGTGGTACCATTGTCATCAGTCGGAATTGGGACATTAATCGTGTAGGGTGAGTGTCGCGCTTTCTGAACGTTAAGGAACCTTTGCAAACTACTCTGATGGATCCGAAGGTGACATTTTCGAAGGCCAAATGTCTGCTTCTATCCATCATATATATACAAATGATTTTTTTTCCGCCTCAAACATTAATGAATTTTATTATGGAAACACGATTCAACCTGTAGGAATTTGATAAAAAGTGGTATTTCATATTTGGCATCCAACATTTAAGGTCATAGTGCTTACAAAGCTAACAATGCTATGAATTGTCTTTTGAATCAATCTCTTTGGTTTAATAGACTGATTGATGAAGGTTATAATCCTACTGTTGCTGTTCAATCACTGTTCTATGATTTGTTTTACGATTAACATCAATACACGTATTTATATTTTGAAGCAATACGAAAATGTTTCCTTTGTGTATTTGTTTACTTTGGTTTGTGCATAGTGCAAGTCGTATCTACCTAAACTGTTTATGAAGTTGCTATTGTTTACCCTTAATGAATAAAAGGAGATGTAAGGTTTACGTCAATATGACATCTACCAACGAATAGAATTACAAAACGTCATCTAGAGGCAACATACCATCTTGAACAATAAACAAGTGGCTTTATATTATGACAAGCTCTAAATCGACCCAAGTTTAAAAAAAAGATGTGAATGGTTTAAACATAAACAATCAAATGTCTTCAATTATTACCAAATTTTCCAACATAAAAAAAATTACGATATTACATAAGACAATCACGGACGAAATTTTGGACAGACCCATGAATATGTCGTGGGGTCAAAGTTTTTTTTTTAGATCTCAACCTTCACCCTGTTTTATCTCGACCAGTGGACTAACGACATTTTTCCTTTTGGTTTTGGTAATGTCTGTTAATATTTGATGTGAATTTTGATTTCTCTCCTGGTACCTACTCCCTGTTTATACTGTAGGTATATCACAAAAGACAAAACTTTAAAAAGATGTGCTATATTTAACTCATCCTAAATAACAGGATTAACTACCATAAATATCAAAGAAACGCCATTTTATTGATGTATTTAGTCAGTTCCTGGAAAGCATTATTCCATGAGCTTTATCATAAGAACACCTAAAAGAATCAGGTCATGAAGACTTGCATGTTGTAAATTTTCTTCCGAGACAAACTATGAATAGTCAAATATTTAAAAGACTTTTTATTTCAGATCATGTGCTCAAATAAAAACCTATTAGAATATACTAAGTAAACCTTACTGTCAATATAATTTCTACCCGTTCTAGTAAAATGCTTGGTAGAGAAATTAAAAAGAAAGACCTAGATAATAACAGTTGTACTAGTTAGTTAGAATTTATCTGTTACTAATTTAGGTAGTAAATCTACTATTTATTCTTTTCAGTGCATGTACGTTTAATTTCAACGGAAGTAAACGTTCTGTTATTTCTAAGCAAATACGTTGTGGACAACATGAACATATTTATTTTGGTTTTTAAGAATATCTAGGTAAAGACGAAGATCAGGATCAGTGACAGGATTTAAAACAATAATGGTACCAATTTTACTGCACCAGATGCGTATTTCGTCAATAAATGCCTCTTCATCGATGCTCGAGGCCAAAATATTTGAAAAACCAAAACATATACAAATGTTGACAAGATTTCCACACAGCGAAAATTAAGATAGAAATACTACAGAAACATATTTTGAAATTTGACCGTCCGTTCTCGTATGTAAATGTATCATAAATATAGTTTTTACATGTCTCTTTTGGAAAGAAATAACATTAATGATATTGTATTATATGTCGATTGTTTGACCAGAAATTTGAGCTATTATGTGGAATCTTAGAACTCAATAGCCATGTTAACTGCTGTACCCCTATTTTTGACATTTTTACCTATTATGTCTATTTGTTTTGCTCACACATTGTTGTCAATATATTGGAATTCTATGCGGCTGTCGTACAAATCAAAGGTTTAACTAGCTATAAAACCAGGTTTAATCCACCATTTCCTATATAAGAAAATGCTGTACCAAGTCAAAAATATGACAGTTGTTTTCCGTTCGTTTGATGTGTTAGAGATTTTGATTTTGCCATTTAATAAAGGACTTTCCGTTTTGAATTTTCTTGGAGTTCGGTATTTTTGTTATTTTACTTTTTTCTTTTGTGGAAAGTCTATATTGTCTGCTTTATATATGTTTTTTTTTTTAATATCTCTTTTTATGATTGTACACGTTGCACTTTTAAGGGAAGAATGTAAAATTATCCGGCTATTATCTGCCTTTTCTTATTCTCGAGATATTCTCGTTACCTCTTTATTAAATGACAGTGTATAAGTATGTCACATTTTAACAGAAGTTCGTATATACTAGGTTCAATCTCTGATCGGTTACCACACAATGTCATGCTAGCAACTTTTAGTGGTGTCTTTCTGATTTCGTGATATTTCAATACGTCTGAATCAAACTATTGAATGGAAACTTATAAAACTATACATATGCTACAAACTTAGCAATTTTGTTATTATAAGTCAGTGATACACTAGTTAGTCTCATGAGAGTTAAAAACCAATCAGAAAATCACCTCGAATGAAGGTACAAATCAAAAGGTCAACTGCCGGTTTTAAAGAAATGGTGAACATTTTCCAGAATGTTAAAAATATGACAACACTGAAAACTATAAATGAAAGAAAAGTTTCAAATTTAATTTTCTGATCTTCTAACAGAGAACAACTATTTATGCGTGTTCTTATTTCTTCAAACAAGGAACGGTGTGTATTATGTTAGGTGAATGGTATCCGAAGAATGTTACTTAAGGTAAAAGTATAGTAAATTGGCTATCATTGTTCATATGTTGTGCTGTTACACCACTGTTCCAGGTTAGGGGTGGGTTTGGCGCCCGCAATCATGTTTAACCCCGCCACACTCTGTATGTGCCTGTTCCGTGTCAGGAGCCAGTAAATCAGTGGTTGTCGTTTGTTTGCTGTATATCATTTTTGTTTTTCGCTCATTGTTTTGTACATAAATCAAGCCGTTAGTTGTGTTGTTTGAATTGTTTTACATTTGTCATTTCGGGATCTTTTATAGCTGATTTTGCGGTATGGGTTTTGCTCATTGTTGAAGACCGTACGGTGACCTATAGTTGTTAACTTCTATGTCATTTGGTCTATGTTGGAGAGTTGTCCCATTGACAATCACACCACATCTTCTTATTTTTATATGTCACAGATTTTGGTAAAAAATCGTTTTTTTGACATTTCTTCCTTCATTTAGGTACCAGATTTTTTATTTATTTAACACAAGAAGCACCAGTTGTGTAGCCAAACGTATCATGATGGTATTGTTCCAATTTGGTTAAAAATCTATTTATTTTGTTTGCGATAACATACTTATAAGGGTAGTCTTATTTCCTATACTTAGCATTCTTTTTAAAAATAATCATTCAATGTAGCAAAAGACAACCACTGACGAGATTCCTGAATTGTGCATGTCACTGCTGGTGGAGGTTTCTTCCCCGAGGCCGAGGATATCACCATCCCAGTAGTCAGCACTTTTGTGTTGACATGGATAATCATTGATATGGAAATAATCATAAATTAACTGTACAGTAAACAAAACTTTGAATTGTTCGAAATACTAAGGATGTTCTATCCCAGGAATAGATTACCTTATTTGTCAAAACCTTTCGGAATTTTTGGTACGCAGTGATCTACATCTTGGTATTCAACTTTCTTGATTCGAGCGTCACTGACGAGTCTTTTGTAGAAGAATCGCTAATTTGGCGTACAAAATTTTAATTCTGGTATCTATGATGATTTTATTTGAAACAGACACATGAACTAGTGTAACGTGTTTGGCTTATAAACTATCTGTTCGTATCCGTTTTCACAAAATCTGAGATACTCCAATATCAATCTTTTAATTAACTCAAAATCTAACTACAACTTGGAGGCTTTACTAAAAACTACGAGACCAACCTTTCAACTTTGAAACTTAATAAAGAAACAACAATATTTACACAATTAACTTTGTATCAAAAAGTAGTCTAAAAACTATAACCTCAATTTATCCTTAATCCTTTCACTGACTCAGAGGTCCCAACCGATTTGCTCAACAATTATAACCTTTCAAAAACTATAAGAGGACAAGCTTCAAAACCATAGGTTCCTGAGACAGCTAGTGTCTGAGACACCTAGTTTCTGAGACAACTAGTTCTGAAACACCTAATCTCCGAAGCACCCTAGTTCCTGAGACAACTAGTTCTGAAACACCTAGTCTTCGAAGCACCTAGTTCTGAGACACCTATTCTCCGAAACACCGAAGTCACCAGACACTTACAAGCTACCTGTTCGAGGGACTGCGACCATTCCCGTGGAAAATTACAGTTTCAGAACAGAGGGGCCTGATGGGTTATTTTCGTTCTTCGTGATCGGCGCATTTTCGCTATCGTGATCCGTTTTTCTACAGATTTTTTTTTTATATTTTCGTGATCCGTGATCATGGAAATTTATTTTCTGTGAATCGTGATTGACAAAAAAATCAACTCGTGAATCGTGATGAGACCCCCCATCAGGCCCCTCAGAACAACCCGGTAGCTTGCAACAATCGTAAAGACTTCTAAACCGCTTGCTTCAAACCACAAGATTTCAACTCAAACTTGGTTTACAAACTTTTCAGTTAGACTTTCTTTATTTGCTGGTATTCTCTTTTCGATGCTTATTCATCAACAGCCACATAACAAATGAACGAACTCGCACAATGTATCGGTGTCTTTATAATATACCAATAGCGCGGACCTCAAGGAGAGCACCCTAGCAACAACGAGTTTCATAGCAACCAAGGATAAAAGGATGATTTTCCATGTAGTTTTCGTTAATGAATTGTTCAAACGGGTAATTAATCATGGATTACAATTAAACATTGAATTACAAATATTGTCTTATGCTTAAACTGCATTTCTGTCACACTAGCGGTTTACAATTCCCACCTTTCACTCCCTTTTTCTTTTTTAGAGAACTAACGAAAGGTACATAAAAGAACGATTCAATAAAAATCAGTACAGCAATAGGTATTTAACAGCTATAATAGCAGTATAATAGAAAACAAAATCACAAGTACAAACAAAACAGAAATAAATTAAACCAGATCAAAGAATTCTTACAGTTACTTAGAGTCGTCCTTCACCCTAAAATCGGTATAAATATCAAAGAGTAGATGTCATGCAGCAACGTCATATATAATACCAAGAGACATGATAAATTCAGTAATATTTTGTATGCAAACATTATATGCATAATCGATCTAAACTGATTAACTTCAATTGATACTTATTTACCTGTCACAGATGATGACGGATATGTCCAATCGTCGTAACCAAAATCCCGTCCTCCTTTTTCCCCGAATGTGACCTACCGAAATAGATTAATCACCGAGTTTGTACTTACATGAACAACACGACGAGTGTCACATGTGGAGCAGGATTTGATTGCCCTTCCAGAGCATCTTAGATCACACCCAGTTTTTGGTGGGGTTCGTGTTGCTTGGTCATTAGTTTTCTGTGTTGTGTTTTGTTTACTGTTGTTTATCTTTTTGGTCTTTTTCTTCTTTTTTGCCATGGCTTTGTTATTTTTTTTTTCGACATGTGAGTTTGAATGTCCCTTTGGTATCTTTCGCCTCTCCCCTATTTAACCTTTCTCTTAACAGGTTAGGGCTCATTCCTCTTTAATCTCTGATTGAAGAATGACCGCAAAGTTTTGTGGACTATAAAATAAAGTAATGGAGATGTTTATATGTGTTAGACAATTGGAACCCTAAATATCATTTCAATCATGATTTTGTTTGATTTTAAGCCAATATAATATACAATGGTATTGCCAATCTTTCTTCAAATAAAAGCAAGATTGCATTTTTCATTATCGACTTTGTAGTAAATTAATCAACGACCCAGTTAAACACGCGTACGTTATATAATTCAGATATGGTTAGTGTTCGAGAAACCTGGTTTAGCTTATAATTTGGGCAAAAACGTTAATTTTGTATTACATAAATCACGTGACAATGCATCTGTTGTCCCGGTTTATAAAGTTTTCATCCTATAGTTCAAAATAACCAAGTAAAGTATTACGTGTTCGTCACGCACAATTTTAAGATAAAAGTCGGAATCACAACAGATGTACACACAGATCTCACCCCGTTAGTACATATCACGGTTTTACAGACAAGCGACTAGGTAAGTTCCATGAAAAAATTATTTCATATAAGCAGATAATGGCTTTTGTCCAATTTCGACACATTTATGTTTAAAAAAAGGACTAGGAGACACACATACGTTTTGTCGTTATAAATTGTACACTGATTTTCTTTTATGAAATACTATATATGAATGAAGAAAATAATGAGATTTATGTAAATTATGTAAAAATCCGACAATGCAAAACAGAAAAGACACCAACATACGATCCTCAAATTTGGGTCTTCAATGCGCCTCAACATCGCACTTTATTTGGCCTTTAAAAAAAATTGATTCGAGCGTCATTGACGAGTCTTTTTTAGACAAAATTTTAATTCTAGTATTCATGATGAGCTTTTTCACACACATGTGACTATACCATTTTGAACTAACACGGCATAAGTCTAGTGGAGCACCTAAAGATCTGCTACAAAAACTAAAACTTTAAAAACCTAGAAAATTAGTTTTAAACTTTTGCCTATACTTCTTATGAGTAATTAGCATGTTGCAGGGTTAATCCAGTACGTTAAGTACTTAACCTGTCCCTTTCAATCTCGACTAGTTAGAATAAGAAACCATACATAGACAATAGTCCAGTACAAATAAGTTCATATAAATACTGAACTTAATAATATCGCTTTTAATTATGTCACTAGTGCAATGATATTAAATGATAATTTATCAAATAATCTTCATACTACAACTCATCCAGATATACACCTTAAAATGTACAAATAGATAGCTTTAAAACTGTCGCATAAATTCAACGAAGTCATTTGATATTTGTTCTTACTTTTAAAGTTCATATATTGCTAAGAATTAATAAGCACATGTCGAGTTTGAATTTGTCACATTAATAATACATCTACACCTTTCCATGGAAATGCAATCGACTTAATAACTGGAGTTATATACCAAAATTATTTAGAAAATTCGCAAAAATCTAAAAGCTAGTTAACATAAGAGGAATTCGGATTCGACAAATTGATTGATTGATTGATTGATTGTTGTTTAACTTCCAGTGGCAAATATTTCATGCATGTTCAGGACGAGAACAAATAAACAATTATAACAATAGGTAGGTCCTGTAATACAGGGCGTCCGGGATGAAGATCGGGTACATTTGGACTGCCACTGGAAAATAAGGTTATTTTGGAAAGGGACAGAAATTATGCCTTGCAATAAGCCAAACTCTAAGAGTTGTTTCAAGAAGTCTTAACGTGCAAAAAGCGTGGCACTTTCTTTACACAAGGCATCAGATTAACGTCCCCATTCTGACCGGACGTGACTGCGTACTTGTACATACTACACAGCCAAATGGACGCCCCACTTTGGAAATGGATTTTCTGGCAGACGTAAAAAGACATAAGTGACCATATTTCTATTCCCCAATTACCTTTGGGGTCCGACAAATGGAAATTATTTGGTACCGGAGAAAATTTTTATACATTTTACAAACAGTAGAAAGATTGCAATATTGCATTATCCTGTTAGCACTCATATGACAGAAATGTCAGGTGAATATAGACAGAAATGTCAGGTGAATATAGACAGATTTGTCAGGTGAATATAGACAGAAATGTCAGGTGAATATAGACAGAAATGTCAGGTGAATATAGACAGAAATGTCAGGTGAATATAGACAGATTTGTTGATCACTTTGGTTGTTTATGTATCTGCATTAAATTGGCGCTCTAGATTTCGGTTGTAGCATATACTAGATAAACTTTAACTAAGGGTAGCTTTTTTGGTACAAAGCATTTACGTTAACTGCTTCATTTACTTAAAGCAATGCACAAAACAGTTTGAGCGGGATTTTTTTTCGGATTTCAGTTTGTTTTTAGTTAAACAAAAATCATACAGTATATGTTTTATATTTCAATATTCACAGTAAAATGAAGATCATTCTACTAGTTGGATTGTTCGTATCAACAGCTTTAGGCCAGTTTCAACTGCAAAAACAAAGCTATACGACATTTCCTTCTACTTCTCAAGGAGCAAAAGCATTATTTAGCAACGCTGCTCACCAGGCATCTTATGATCCACAGGAAAGAATACTTTATGTATTAGGTAAGTTGTTACTGTAAATTTTTAAGATATATTAAATTACAGAATTGAAGCATTCCAGCAGCGACTGCATTCAGAATATATATCTCCCAGTTGATACGAAATTCCAGAACTTCCGTTTCCTCTCATGATTTTTCCGTCTTTATACTGGATACCTAAACTTCACAAAAAGGATTATAAAGAACGATGCAAAACCGGGTCGTCAAGATATTCTACTTTACACATTTCTAAACATCTTACCACCAATCTCTCTACCAATAAAGATGGTCTTCGATGACCAGTGTTAGATCTTAATATCTGAATAGTCATCTATTCTGTAATTTTACCGATTAATACATTTTAACTGAGTGCGGATTCGCATGGCGGATGATGCATGTATAGCATGAGACCCTTCCCCTGTCAACGCAACAGGTATCGTTCCTTTTGGGCTTTATGCAATTCCCTCAGTTTTTGTTTGTTACCTTGATTTTTCTTCTTATTCAATTTGTTAGATTTGAACATCGATGAACTACGAATGCCTTTAATTTGAGTCGCTCTGTTGATTTGAAGAAAACAATACAAAAAAAACCTGTTTTTTTTATTTCAGGCGCCCAAATAGCAATAAATCGACCACGCCTTCTTCATGTTGTTGATATGTTCAACCCAGCAGCCCCATCTATTCTACTCACACATTCAATGGATGCATCCTTATATGGTCGAGCTAATGATGTTCAAGTGTGCGGTGACACGGTTGCAGTAAGCTTAGACTCTCCAGTGCCTACTAAAGAAGGATATGTAATTCTTTTTACCACATTTAGACGTGGTGATACACAGCTAGCTAGTATTGGAGTAGAACCTGGTAAGCTGACAATACGTTATATTACATAGGGTAGATTACGGTGAGGTTAAGCAGAATTGGCTACTTTGGTTTCTATCGGTTCAGTCAATTATGAAAGAGGTACTTGTCAATCGAGTTCAAAAACTCGTTCTTTCATTCCTAACGAGTCATTAATCAGTTAAGTTATTTTGGTCAATTGAAAATAACTTACTGTAGTGTTAGCCGAACTAGTAAATTTATCTATGTGATATTACTCATATACAGAGTAAAATTACTGAATTGACTACTACATAAAATTGAGAATGGAAATGGGGAATGTGTCAAAGAGACAACAACCCGACCAAAGAACAGAAGGCCACCAATGAGTCTTCAACACAGCGAGAAAATCCCGCACCCGGAGGCGTGCTTCAGCTGGCCCCTAAACAAAAATATGTACTAGTTCAATAATAATGGACGTCATACTAAACTCCGAAATATATAAAAGAAACTAAAATTGAAAATCATACAAGACTAACAAAGGCCAGAGGCTCCTGACTTGGGACAGGCGCAAAAATGCAGCGGGGTTAAACGTGTTTTTGAGATCTCAACTCTCTCCCTATACCTCTATACCTCTAGCCAATGTAGAAAAACAGTACGTTTTGTATAACCGTCTCAACTGAATGTTTGATGTCAAACGATTTATTCTATCTCATATTTATCAATTCAACTGATTCAATTAATCCCTAAAGTGCAATTGACTCAGCAGACTCAATTTTGAACTCTTACAACTCAATTCCTTTTATGTATTATATTACCTAGTTTAATTACATCAATTGATTCATAATTGGTGTTTGCTTAACGTCCAGTGGCAAATATTTCAGTACACGGTTAAAATTGGTGTTACGTCTCTTTATAAAAGCAACACGGTGTTGAGGAAAAATCTGAAACGTTTCACCCGGACAACAGATGAAGAAATGGATGATGAATGATTGAAATAAATGCAGAAAACACATTAAAAGCTAACAAGTTGTTATTGTCAGCATTTGTTTTTGTATGGACCAATGGACGTGGGTTCTTTATATTGAAGACTTGATCACTTTGATAGGCCACTAATCTAAATGCCACATCTTAAGATGTTAAGATAGTCACAGTGTGCTAGTGACCTAATACGATATATATGGGGTCAGTAAATTCCATATAGGGTTCGCTCTCACCCCATATGGAAATTACTGACCCCATATATATCGTATTAGGTCACTAGCACACTGTGTAACTAATATTATATCTCTAAGTCTTTTGGCTATGTAAGAAAATATCTTAAAGACCATTAAACTTACAAAATAAATTTACAAAAATGGAAGCGGTGCAAGCTTCAATTGCAGATTTGTCGGTTCAAAAATTAACATCCATTGCGTTATTGAGTTTATTTTTGTATTAATACAATAACTTCATCCAGATTACATTTGAGGTTTTCTCGGTTGATCTTAGTTTATGAATAATCTCTACTTAACTTGGAAAGTGGAACATGTTTTGGGCGTTTGCTTGGGAAATAAGGCATTGACGCCTCCGGGTGCGGGAATTTCTCGCTGCATTGAAGACCTGTTGGTGACCTTCTGCTGTTGTCTGTTCTATGGTCGGGTTGTTGTCTCTTTGACACATTCCCCATTTCCATTCTCAATTTTATTATTAGATTAAAGTTAGGTCAATCGAAAAACAAACAACAAATGTAATCATTAGAACGTTGTTTTTTTAATAAAACATGGTTGCCTCTAGCCATATTTGGCATAACTTTTGGGATTTCTGGTTTTCAATGCTCCTCCGACTTAGCAATTGAATTTGCCTGACAATTGTTTTGATTCGAGAACCGTTAAGTAGATTTATATAGAAGAAAAGTGTGTCTTGCATACCAAATTATAAGCATGGTATATTTGAGAGTTTTTTCAGAAACATTTGCAAATATTACAGGCAAACATTACCTTATATTTTAGTTTTGATTCGAGAAGAACCGCTTAGTAGATTGTTATAGAAGAAAAGCGTGTATGGCATACCAAATTATAAGCATGGTATATTGGAGAGTTTTTCAGAAACATTTGCAAATATTACAGGAAAACATAACTTATATTGTAGTTCATATTTGATTTTAATTTTAGTTGGCGTTGACCCAAAAGGAATGGCATTTACTAATGACTGTCAGAAGCTTGTCGTTGCGAATGAAGGTCGTGGTGGACTTGATGGGTCATTCATAGACCCACCAGGTTCAGTGTCTATTTTGCTAAGGAATGATCTTGGATCTCCAGCACATGTCAACATAGGATTCCAATCCTTCATAGAAAATAGGTAGATATATAGCAGTGAACATGTAACATTGTCACATTCAAGAATCCAAGGAAAACGGAAAATTCAATTACTGCTTTGATTTCTTGGCAGTTTTTGGAAAACAAATTATTTCCTTATAAGAGTAAGGCGCTACCCTCTGTTTTTTTGTTTTTATAATATAAATAGATGTCCGATTCTTCTTGAATCAGCTCTTCAAAAATAATTTACGTTGATACTTCTTTTTGTCAAATAAACAGCACAAGAAAACACACTTAATCCCCTTCAAATACTGTATATCGGGTTTTTTTTCGCGGCGGGTTTTTTTTCACGATTTGATGACAAAATGGGCAGGTTAAATTTTCACTGTGAATTATTTTCGCTGATTGGGAACATACACGCGAAAAAAATCACTGTAGTGTATTATAATTGATATGTAAATAACATAAACTTGTTTGAATGACAGAAAATCGATATCAAATAAATACAAATACTACAAATTAGAATACACATAATTTGGAGAACAAGCAAGACAAAGTTAATTGCTTTCATTGGTGCATGCGAAAAATAAAGTTTTTTTATCATTTTTTGTGATAGTATAACAGGGCAATTTTAAAGCATATTTATGCAAAAATTCGTGTTAATGTGATTTTTTTTTCATTTTTACATTATATGTATCATTTTATATGCAAAATGTTCGATTTTTGATAACATTAGATCATCGTTAATTAAATGAAAATGTCACCAATCAAAAGGTATGACATGTATGATTAGCCAATTTAATTATTATAAAAAATGAATTCTTAATTAGCTATGCACATTTTTTATCTGTCAATCATCACAAAAGACCGATTTTATTAATAACGTTATTTAATAAATTTTGGAACATACAGGGAAATGTACGCGGGTTAAAATTTTCGGGTTTATTTTTGTTGCTGCAAAAAAAGCGAAAATTAAACACACGCAAACAACTCGATATACGGTATGTAATAGAAATTAAAATGCGTATGTGTATAAAAAAACGGTATCATAGCTTATTTAACAGTTGGTGTTCTGTTTTATATAACAAGTACCATTTAACATCGTATGATCTGTTATCTTACCGTTTATGTCCCATTCCCGATTGTGACATCCAATCGAAAGTTGTACGGACACCATCATGAGATGGTTGACTGTTATGGAATTACTTTGTCACGGATGACCAGAGATATGCTCCAATTGTCGTAACCAATATCCTCTTCTCCTCGATTGTGACATCAACATATGAGACTTATCGCCGAATGTGTACTTGCATGAGCATCAAGAAGGGTTCCAAATGTGTCGCAAGAAATGCTTACTCTTCTGGGGCACCTGAGTTCGGCCTGGTTTGTTGGTTGGATTTGTGCTGCTCTGTCTTTAGTTTGCTATGTAGTGTTTTGTAGATTTGTTCGTGGTTTCGTCGTTTTCCTTTATTTTTGCCACTGCGTTGTCAGTTTTTCTTCGACTAATGAGTTTTGAATGTCTCATTGTTATCTTCCACCTCTTTTTATTTTACTGAATGTGGATACGCATTGCAGATGATGTATGCATAGCAGAAGACAATATACCTGTCGACACATCCGGTCTCGATCCTTTGACAGTTCATGCAATTCCATCAGTTCTTGTTTGTTACATTGATTTGTATCTTCTTTATCGATTAGCGAAATGTGCCGCCTTAATTCATTACTGTACTAAATAACATTCTTATGCACTCATTTATGACTCTTCCTCAGAGAATTTGGCCTATTGTGGGTTTTGCTACTCTTTTAAGTCCCTTTTTGTTATAAAGCTCATTAAATATTCAAGTTGTTTACGTCCTAGACTTTCATATTCAGAGAATGAACGTCCTTGGCCGCCTACAATTTATAAAATAACTTTCATTTACCAGCACAGGGTCGATGCCACTGCTGGTGGTTAACAGCCAGTGGTTGGTGCTTCGGTACTGATATGATTTATAACATACCTTTCTTAAATGTACAGTTGATAAATTTAGAGATAATTTAGAAACTGAAAGTAACAACTCCCTCAGGCAAGGTTCATCGTATATGGGGTTCACTATTGGTTTTTTCGTCCCTTTTGGTCGCACAGCTCATCAATTATTCAAGTATTTATAAATTACTTGCTTGGATTTTTGGGTTTGAGCCTTCCTAGTGTAGATAAATCATGAAAAGCTCTTTGGACGCATCAGATTTATAATCTCCTAGTCTCATTTTATTGCTCTCTCCAAAATGTTGTGAGCCAAAATGAAAAATGCAATATTTATTAGAGGTGTATAGAGAAATTAAATTCCTTATAATTAACTTAAGTTTCGAACTTATTAGACATAGGTGCATATATTATACATTTTTGACGGACGATGGAACGTGCTTACATCTGAGTTAATTTCTAGATAAGATTTTCACTGTTATACGGGAGATCACTCAAATGTGAAAAAAGCTTCATTGCCTGAACAGTACATGAAATAATTGTATACACAATGTAGATATATTGATTGTTGGTAGCTAAAACTTTCAGCAGAAATTAAATATTTTATGCATATCCATTTACATGTATCCGGTATCCAGTCATTTAGTACCATAACCATTTCGTACCATTGTCAATTCGTACCCAGAATGACCATTTCGTACCATGAATTTGCCATTTCGTACCATGAACATAAACCATTTCGTACCATATGGCAAAAAACAGATTTACCATTTCGTGCCATATGGAAAAAATGCTTTACCATTTCGTACCATAAGGGAAAAATGCTATATCATTTCGACTGAATTGAACTTTACCATATCATACTTGGTATAGAAAAAATATTCAGACAGTAATTACATCCAATCAATCATATGACAAAAAACAGGGTATCGAAAGTTTTAACTAAATTCCGGTTTTGTTCTCATCTCCAATCAAGAAATATCATGTACGCACATTCTATCAAATGATAGGCAATTAAACAAAGCAAAACTTACCTTCAGTACTGAATTATGAATACATATAAAAATAGCATATGGTACGAAATGGTAAACATCATAATCTTCCATATGGTGCGAAATGGTATACATTATAATCTCCCATATGGTACGAAATGGTATACATAATAATCTTCCATATGGTTCGAAGTGGTATACATTATAATCTTCCATATGGTACGAAATGGTTATGGTACGAAATGGTTTTTGTTATGGTACGAAATGGGTGGTACGAAATGGTTATGGTACGAAATGACTATGATTCATTTATCCTAATTTGTTAAACAAAATACATATCGCATCTCAAACTAATAGTTCTCATAATATATAAGGTCATTTATCGGGGTACTTTTATCACAAAAATTTAAAAAGTTTAAAGATATTGATATATATTGTATTAACTTATGAACTTCTGTTTCACCAACATAGGGAAACTGAGTATCAGTCAAGGGGTGTGAGGTGGGTATATAGGGGAGACCATACTGCTGGGATTGTCAACAATATGTGGGATGATCTCGAGCCTGACCAGGTTACTATAAGCAATGACCAACGATTTGCTTATGTTTCACTTCCTGTGAGTAGTCATCTTTAATTTTGTATAAAAAAATTTACAGAATGTAACTTTTTGCTTTATATAATTGGTTACTTTATGTTGATTCCAAAAATATATGGCTCCTCCGTATTTTTGCATGAAAAACTGACTACTTCCGGCTTACACCAGGTAATTTCCGGTTGTTCTTTTCAAGGTCATATGTCTGTAACCTAATACAAAAAAAAACATTGCTTTATCATATACCAGTATGAAGCTTTTATCAATAAATCATACATTTAAGTATCAAAAGTGTAACAACTCCTATAAATGTTACCAGCTGGATGGTTTAAAGGGACATAAGCTGTCAAATTCATGTTCACCGATTTGACTCAAATTCTCATACTTGATTTATAACATACTTAAACGTATTTCCAAATTATAAAACGTCTAAAATAAACAATTTATGATGCATGGACTCGATAATATGTATCAGCATTTCGTGTGTATTTTAGTCTCATTAAACATCGAGGTGATTTCCGAAGACTGCCGACGGTCATATAACCCGATATAAAGATGAATATAGATCTAGATAGATAGCGAACACGTGTAATTGGATTTGTCTAGGTCTGTTTGATTTCATAATTTAGGTTTTAAAAATATGTTTATCATCGTTTTTACCTGTACAAGGCTGAGTTTTTGTGGATCGAATCAGTCAACCAAATGATTTACCCTTGTTTCACTTTCAATTCTTTTCCTTTTAATAGCTGAATACGCCTAGTTAATACGTAACCTATCTCTAGCTTAGGGGTTAAATTGAAGGTCACATGAATACGTATTCAATGAGGTCGAATTATTCACTTGCAAGTGAATAATTCTTCAGCGATCTTATTAGCTTATTTTGACAAAATTGAATCAAACTGGCTGATAAAACCGAATTATTATTTCACTATTTCACTTACATTAATGATTAAACAAACATAAAATCATATTTTAATTTTTTTTTATCTCGTAACTAATGCCCCTTTAAACTAGATGTATCAAATCTTTGTAATAATGTCCAGATCATTTTTCTCGATTTCTTTGTTTTTTTCACGCCTTTAGTTTCAATGGAATAACAATAACATGCAAAGGTCAAAATATAAAACGTCATGTTGACCTTTGAACTGAACCTCAACTTAAAGGTCAATGGTCAAGGATCTCCGATCAAAACACGCGATCATATGAATGGTTACTGAAGAAGCCTGTAAAAATTAATTGAAGCATCTAACCGTTATTTATGAGTGGAAAATAAAGATAGTTTAATTTAAGATTTTTTCGTCTCCCGTATACCATATTCACATATTTATTTTTTTAGGCAAAGGAGACATATAATTAAATCTTGCCGAGTTTACACATATTCTACATAAAAAAGGAGAAAGAATGATCCCTTTATTCATGTCAGTATACTAAACTTGAATAGCACGGAGGCTAAATGATCACTCAGAGGATCTTATACGTTCCATTAAATTTATGTGTTCACTATTTATATACATCTGTCCTTGCTAAATACACCTGTCTCGATGCTATTGGTCGGTCTCGTTTATTATATATCTCTGGAATTCAACTTTTGATATCTTCTTCCTGTGATTCTTTACACATCCGGATAAAAGAGGCGAAAGATAAAACTCATTAGTCGAAGGGAAGTGACAACGCCATGACAAAAGACCAAATGATGACGAAAAGACAAACATATCCACAAAAAACTAAATAGAAAACTGAAAAATTTAATTTTGCACAATATTTCTTTTAATAGATTGACAGTTAATATACATTACGTTAAGATGTATTGAAATTACACATGATTATGTTGGCTTTTCTTTTTAAGTTAATCCTTTGTCGCAAGGAAATAGACAAATTCATAAATACAGTCAAACTTGATATTATAATATTAATTTGAAATGAAATGAATCACTCATTACCATAGTGAATAAAGACTTATAGTATTATGTTGGTGCCTCCAAAGGGCTTTTCTTAATTTTCCTGCGACAGGACACTCGAAACAAGACAAAAGGAAGCCAAGGATAACAAAACAGTATGAATATTTTTTTCTTTGTTATATTTAGGAAAATAATGCTATTGCTAGAATAGACATCAACGCATATTCAGTGAATGAACTTTTCGGACTTGGTTTGAAGAACTGGACGCTTTTCAGAACAGACGGTAGCGATCAAGATGGAGGTATGAAATTTCTAGTTGTAAAGTTTCAATTTTGATATATGTTCCCACATTCAAAGTAACATTGTAAAATCAAATATAGTATGAACTGTATGTGTAATTGTATTAGGTATTGGGATCTACAAGTATTTCATGTGTACCCTATCAAAGACTTGAACTCACCATTTCTACTGTCGACATGCTTTAAAGGAATTCTTTAGTAAATATTTGAAATACGTATTCCCCAAAAGAGTCACATTGGTGATCGTGTAGCTTCTTACGAGAATTATATAGATGCGTGTATTCCATTTTGAATTAGTTTGCCAATAGAGTAAGTAGGGAATTTCGAAAAGAATAGTATTTCCATAACAAACATAATTCCGTTGTATTTAAAAACAATTTACATCAATATCTGTTTTGAACGTTCAAATACTGAAATGGAATCAAATGATGTTAACATTTCTTAAGTATTAGAGACCTCAAGCCTCAAGGAGAAATTTGGCATTGTAAACAATAATCGACTTAAAGATTTTTCACCAAAGTCCCTTAATTATCAAATTCCCCAGCTTATCAACCCGAAGAAGCACTTCAGATTACTGATAAATGCAGTTTAGGACTATGACAGAACATTAGTAGACACGAGCCAGATGAAACAAGACTGAAAACTTTATCTAAAATGATAAATGCTATAAAGTCATGCATTCAAAATGACATTCACAATCTACAACGTACAACGAGCACACGGGTTTCTAACTCTTTCAAGAAGTCTGTGGTTATTGGTGCTTTATTTTCTCTGCACTGCTAATATGGTGTTAGTCCAGCAGATAACAGTGTTGCTTTTATATGCAAAACCCCTTACTAGAAATGTCTAACTGAACAAATCGAAAAACTGGTAATCCCACATGTACCGCTCCATCATTCACAAAAGTGTGTTATGTGTTTATATTTTATGACAGATGGTCTAATAGCTAAATGGGGAGGTTTATGTGCGCGTTAATTCAATGGTTAAATCACACCACATATTGTGCCTGTCCCAAGTAAGGCTATCGTGGCCATTTGTTGCATGTTGTTGTTTGTATGTCTGGATTCTTTTCGGATGAGACGGGTGTACTGTGATGTTGTTTTGACAGTTCCTGTTATCCGTATGCATTTATTGACGATATCGATTTTATATCGTATTGTGCGCATAGAATTCGGTTTCATATGTAAAAGAATTTTTAAAGGGGTAATTAGCTACGAATTACACAAAATTTGAATATAATGCTTTTTGTTTCTTGTATTATTGTGGAATATAGGGTTGATATTTTGCTATAAGCAGTCAGTTTGGTTCAATTTCGTCAAAAATAAGCTGAAAAATAGACTGAGGTATTATTGGCTTGCAAGTTATTTATTCGACTCATTTAAATCCATATTCAAGCAATCTTTACTTCGACCTTTAGTGATATTGGTTGCACATGTGTTAAGCCCACAAAAAAAGCTTTCTTTGACAAGTAAAACGATAATTTACATATATTTTTAACCTTTTACATGAAATCAAACAGAACTAGAAAAATCGAGACTATACGTGCTTATCTGTTTATGTTTATTTCGGGTTGTATGACCTTCGGCAGTCTTCGGAGGTCACCTCGATGTATAATTAGATGACGTCTAGTCTAAAGTACGCACGAATTGCTGATTCATTATAGTTCATGCATTGCTAATTGTTTCTTTTGGACTTTTTGTAATTTGGATATGCGTTAAAGTATGTTAAAATCAATATGAGAATTTGGGTCATATCGGTGAACATGAATTTGACAGCTAATGTCCCTTTATGTGAATTATTTAGTTGCATTTAATATATGTTTTAATATGTTGACTGTTGCAGGGGCTAATCTTTTACACCATCCTATTTATGCGATGTACCAGCCAACAGATATTGCAACTGCTACTTTAAATGGCCAGGAGTATATAGTATCAGCAAACCAAGGAGTTATAAAAAGATATGCAGCTGCTGATGGATTAACGAATTCATTTGATGAGTCTAAAAGAGCAAGACAAATATCTCTGGGTATGCTTAATTTCTAATGAAAAATAATAAAAGATTTTAATAATAAATCCGATTATTTAAATTTTTAACCAAAAACTGTACATTTTATGCTCAGTCTTCAGTTTTCTATGTTGTGTTTTGTGTACTGTTGTTTGTCTGTTGGTTTTTTTCTTTTTTAGCTATGGCGTTGTCAGTTTATTTTCTACTTATGAGTTTGAATGTCCCTTTAATATCTTTCTCCTCTCTTTTAAATTGTGATAAAACCCATTGGTGAACAATTGTATATTATTATTACATTGCATGATATCATCTTCACTGAACATGTATCTATAAAATACATCTTGTATTAGTTCAAATTATTATACTTAGTATTTATACCGCTCTTATTTGAGAAATAAACATTAATATGAGACATATGGTCGCTATACTGTACAGTGACGTCTTATGGGACAGAGACCGTGTTGAAAAAGAAATCAAAACTTTGTCACAATAAAATGGTTATAACAAGATGAAATATTTCACAATAATCGTATCAATAGTCTTCAAGAGTAGAGCAATTGTGTTTAAGTATATTGAAGTGTTTTGCGCTGGTTATTAAAACATTGTTGCATTAATATGACTTAACATGTATTTTGAATTTAAGATAAAATTGTACCCTGCTTGAATTTATGATAAAAAATGTACACGGCTTATTTGGATCACTTCAATAGTTCAATATAATGTAACTAATACATTGCCTATCAGTTTCATACCATATACACAACATCTTGAATTTATTACTTAACAACAGTTAGTTCTGATTTGGCTTGAATGAGTTATAAAATTGGACACGCGTCAGAAAAAGGAATCGAAATTTTATACGGATGATCAGAATACGGATTGAATTAAATACAGGATGGGTATTTCGAGACCAGATCGATGCGTATCTTGCTACAGGATCACACATTGTTGGATAAACGCTGATATTCAAAATTAAAAAATGTATTATTTTGTAATACCTTTGTCTAATCTGCAATATTTGATTACGTTTATTCACAATATTTCCAATGAATGATTTTTTTTATCATATCACCTGTCATTAATTACATACTGTTTTACGAAATGAGATGTAAATACCTCGATCAGTTCACTGATGCTTTTTCTCGATGATGACCAATATATGATTACTTGATATTTAGTTATTAAAAGTATTTTGTTAATCTTTTCTTAATTATTAAGTCTATAACGACACTTAAAATTACAATAAAGCAACGCACAAATATATAACGGCAACCTTCTTTGTGTAATCCTCGGAACATGGTATATGTCAATATCAATTTATGTGTAATTCACGTTGTGTACTTTAGATGACGAGGAAGTCGAGGGTATCAATTGACTTCCACCTGTCAGAAATGTTTAATGCATCTGAGAGAGAGTGCAAATATTAAAAAAATTAACGGTTTAAATGTTCAACGGAATACAAATTTCTATAGGCTTGTATGCAGACTTTTGTAAAAAAAACATTTAATTAAATACCCAAAAAAACATGTTTTCTCAAAACATGAAAATTGTTAACCACAAATAAATGAATGCACAATATAAAACTTCCCCAAAAAAAGAAAACTGTGTCAAAATCACAAAACCACGAAAACAAAACCTGACCGAAAGTAATATGATGCTCGACACCATAAAATATTTGTTTAATATAACAAATATAATTATTGTTTTCTTAAACATTAAAATACATACCAGTCATTAGTTTAGGCAATAAGCTTTACATCTGAGTATGTCATAAATAATTCCTTCAAACGATTAGTTATTGAACGGCCGATTTGAAGATTTATGAAATATTTGTAGCGATTCAAATGGTTATTTTTTTCTAATATTAGATAGCGACTTCGATCAATCTTCGTGGCCACCAACGTTAACCACAGCTGTGAGTTCCAATCAGCAACTTGGTAAGTTATTACTTTCCATAAATGTATATGTATATTCACCAAGGTATCGCCTAAGGATACCGTTATCATCATAATGGACTACTAGCAAAAAGAGTCCGTTATTTGAAAATAGAATTGTCATATATTTATCTCTTGGGTACAAAATCAGCAACCCATCATGGAAACTTTCATCTAAAATTTCAAAGGTACCTTAATCATGTGATTTGATGATACAGATCATAAAAGGTAACTGTTAATTCAGAAATAATTGCGAGGTTTTTATTAATGCGAGTAATGCGACTGGGTGAGTATCGCAATAATTCTGATATCTGATGCATATATATGTCTACAGCTTTTCCTGATATCGCATAAACTAATCTTGCATTTATGTCCATTCTTCACAAATCGCAATAATAAATGCACGCAATAATTAATGAATTTACAGTATTCATCATTTAAACTGGTGCTATAATATGTTGAATAAAATAATACGCCTTTTGATTTATTTATTCTTTTTTAGACCTCTCATCAACAAATTAATAAATAAAGACATATACGATCCTATGTTTCATGAAGAAAATTAAAATCATGTATTTGTATCTTTTGTAATAAATACCCACTAGTTATCCCATCAAAGCTGAGAAAAAAACTTTATGACAGAAAAAATGATTTCAGCTTCCTAGTTATGAACTTTCCATTTCTATGGAGCAACATTCCAGCAGCGCCTGCATACGGAGTATATATCTCCCAGTTGATACGATATTCCAGGGCTTGCGTTTCCTATCATGATTTCCTTGATAGAGGGTTGCTACTCACAAGGAAGCTATAAAAGCAAGTGTTCCAAGTGGTGAAGTTGAAATCATCCTTTCGAAACTTTTATGGACGCCATCACGAGTTGGTTGACCGTGATGGATTATCTGTTTTACAAAAGACGACGGATGTGTTCCAATTGTCGTAACCACAATTCCATCCTCCTTTTCCCCGAATGTGACCTACCGAATCAGACTTATCACCGGGTTTGTACTTACATGAACAACATGACGGGTGCCACATGTGGAACAGGATCTGCTTATACTTCCGGAGCACATGCAATTGCCCGACTTTTTTATTGGGGGGGGGGGGGGGGTCGTGTTGCTCAGTCTTTAGTTTTCTAGTTGTGTTTTGTTGTTTGTGTTTTGGTCATTTTCTTTTTTTCCCATGGCGTTGTCAGTTTATTTTCGACTTAACAGGACACAATCTCTCATTCTTTGAAATAATAAACTAATTATCTTTTCCATATGTTTTGTACAATTCGAAGGAAAGACAAGTGAATTGATAAAACAAAACAGGGTTAGTTAACTTTCTTCTATACTCTACATTTATATCAGATCATTTAGATCCCTTATCAGAAAACATTTAGCAAATGACAAACGATAAAATGACTAAAAACTAATTTTTCTATACTTGTGCAGGTCGTTTACTTGTTCGAGAGTCAGACGGGAGAGATCCTATCTCACAAAGAATTAAAGATGTTACTGCTTATGGAGCACGAAGTGCTTCATTATGGCAGGTACAAACAATGTCATTAGCATATGATACCGCTGATGAACTGGAAACAAAAGAAAACGAATTGTATCCAAATACCTTCAATGGAGAGTGCAGTAACGGAAACCAGTCACCACTTCAACAGAGAGACCTAAGATCAGACGATCATGTAAGTTGATAAAATAAAATAATAATTATAATAAAAGTCAAATCAATGTAACTTTCCACTAATCGTAGGCAACTCTTGGAATCCATTCTGGGTCTGGGTGGCTCTCATCGTGTACTCTGCTTCCTCCATAAAAACACTGACCGCCATGATGATATAGCCAATATTGCTGAACGTAGTGGTAACTCCAACAATCAACCAGTCAATAGAGTTCTTCTTGGTTTAGTCAGAAAGCATAAGGCCAATTTCCACTGATGTGTTTCATGGATTAGGTAAAAGGCAGAAAACTAATGAAACCTAGTGAAAATTGAATATTGAAGAGTCTGTACAATAAACTTTAAGAATTTTGCAACAATTGATATTCTGTGCTAAACTTGGCTGACAGTTTTTGGTAAATAAGGTAAATTTTACATGTGTTTGTAAAGTAAAGCATAGAAGGACATCCTTGATCAAAATGAATTTTTTTGAAACTTATAGACAAATCAAAGCTTTACAGATGAATACTGCATATAAGGGATCTATTGAATCAATGTTTCCATTTGGAAAAGTTGAAGTCCTCCCTTCTTAAGGTTTAACTGATAGCAACATGAGTTGGTTAAACGCTAAGGAATATCTATGTTACAGATTACATGGATACATTCCAATTGTCGTAACGACAGTATTGTCCTTTTCTTCGATTGTGACATCACCGACTGAGACTCATTACCGGTTTTGCACTTGTCCTTCTGACGCACCTGGGTTAACCCCCACCCCGCCCTACCCCTACCCGGATTTTGGCGAGGTTCGTGTTGCTCAGTTTTTATGTTTCTATGTAGTGTTTTATGGACTTGCTTGTCGTTTCGTCGTTTTTCCGTTGTTTCTCATTTTTGCTATATTCCTTGATTTGTCATAAATGATATAGGTCTTTAAAACGTTTATCAGGGTCCAGAGCCAACCGCATTAGCTGTTGGAATGAGTGGCACTACACCTTTAATAGTAGTTGGTACAAGAACAGGTGCTATACATCTTTACAGTGATGAATTATTAGTACCTAGACACCAAAGTGTACACCGAGAAGGGCAGACAACTCAAACTTGGAACGCCTTATATAGCGCTAATCAAGCTGGTGACGCCATTATAACAGACGTCGGGTATGCATTTATATATATATATATATATATATATATATATATATCATCTATTCTAGCATCAATGTTGTTTTAGATGTAGTTATTTTTTGCTATTTGACACATCGTATAATAATTTCTGGTATTGTACTATATATACAGGCAAAAGCTGTTAAAGCAACATAGGTATAATAATTAATTTTTTATGATTTGGTACCATTAATATTTATCTTTTTTTTGTAATGAAAATAGGAGATGTAGTGTTTACCTCAATGAGTAAGTAACACAAAACAACAGAAAAACATTCATGATATCTAGGTCAACGTATGATTTTCAGCATTTTACAGTTATCTATACCACATGATAAGCTTTAAATCATCCTGAGTCTAGAAAAATCGTGAATCAATAAAACCAAAACCATCAAAGCACATCTACCTTCTACTTCAAACAGATTAATTACATAGAGCGGTCTGGTCTTGTTTATGGTTAAAAACACGTTGCTGCTAAACAGAGTTTAACAATGAAACATTTACTGTTCTTAAATCAGATGATATTTTCATTATTCAGAGTTATAAACGCAAGTGATTCGCCTAATGGAAGAGTATTGGTGTGGGCAATTGGCTCAGCGACTGGTTCTCTTGGAGTATATGAAGTTAGCTTCGTACGGAAATAAAATAAAAACAACATACTTTTTGGTTCTACAATCCTCATCTCTGTTGAATTCAATTTATTTCACAGATGCAGAATAGTTTACACTCTTGTGCTGACATTAAATATCATTGATGTGGTCATTTTCTGTAACTACTGTTTTAATGAAATAGTAAAATCATTCGAAACAGTAAGTAATTTTATATCACATGCGTAGATGGCCTTAGACAGATTCCGCATAACTTTTGTTTTCTGATAGTTTAATCAACTCGTGATTGATTTGGCTTACGGTTTTGATTGGAGTTCGATTAAGGAGTCATATGAAAACGAAACGTTTGTCAGACGTTCTGAAGTATAAGCCTTGTATCTTTGATAAATGACTTCTCCTAACCACTATGTCGATACCACTGCTGGTGGACGTTACGACTATGAGGTTTTAACAGCACTAAAATCAACACTTTAGTACTGGAATGCATCACCAGCAAAGTAGAAAATACCGTAAAGCTGATATTAATATCTTCAATGCGGCAATTCTCTCAACATTTACTGTTCGTAACATGCTTGAAATAAACTTAACTATGTCGATACCACTGCTGGTGGACGTTACGACTATGAGGTTTTAACAGCATTATAATCAACACTTTAGTACTGGAATGCATCACCAGCAAAGTAGAAAATACCGTAAAGCTGATATTAATATCTTCAATGCGGCAATTCTCTCAACATTTACTGTTCGTAACATGCTTGAAATAAACTTAACTATGTCGATACCACTGCTGGTGGACGTTACGACTATGAGGTTTTAACAGCATTATAATCAACACTTTAGTACTGGAATGCATCACCAGCAAAGTAGAAAATACCGTAAAGCTGATATTAATATCTTCAATGCGGCAATTCTCTCAACTTTTACTGTTCGTAACATGCTTGAAATAAACTTAACTTTGTTCCAAGAGGCATAAACGGCCATAGCAAATTTTGATACATTTTTTTGGAATATTTGGCTTTTAATGTTTTTAATGTTTTTAAAGTTCTAAATGTTTAGAATCGAGCGTTAAAGGTGAATCATATAAAGCGAAACGCGCATCTGACGCTCTTAATTCTAAACCTGGTATAATCATCTAATTACTTACTACAGATATTGACCTTAGTTTAATTTGTAAAAAAGAATTCGGAAGAGGAAATAAACCTTTGACATTATACAAAAATCCGTGATACAGGAAAAAAAATTCAAAATTAAGGAGTATCTTTATATGTCCTACCACAAACTCTCAAGAGGTATGTCTCCCGCGGGTTATTGTACCTCTGAATAATATGGACGTGGTCATATAAACCAGAGGAGAAGAGAAATACCCATGAGATCTTCATCAACTGTTTAGAGAAATGGTTCCTTCAAAATTACCTCAGAGTCAACGGTCATGCACAACATTTTAGTAAAGGAAGAACCTATTATCGTTTTAAAATAAGTAACTTTATTCGCTTTTTGCATCATGATATAGGCAATCGTTTTTAGCCAAAAAGTGCAATTCTATAATCCGAAAGGCTGCTAATAGCAGTTTTATTAACCATTCGTATTGCTGACAATAAATTGCCCTTACCTAGTCCAGTAATATTCATGAAACACTGTTTTTACGTGACAGTGTATAAGTAGTTCATTTTTAAACAGAGGTTCGTATTAAGGTTCAATCTCTTATGAATCACACAATGTCCCGATATTTATTTTTAGTCAATCCGATTTCGTTATCACCAAAACGTGTGTGTCATACTAACAAATTGAACTGGAAAAAGAAATGAAAACATATAAATCTACATATGTTACATGTGTTATATACCTAGAAATATGGTTATCGTAAAAGAAAGGCAAATAATACCAAAGGAACATTCATACTCATAAGCCGAAGACAAACTAACAACGACATGGCAAAAAAATGAAAGTCGACCAAACGACAAACAACAGTATACAAAACACAACATAGAAAACTAAAAACTGAGCTACACGAAATCTACCAAAACCAGGGATAATCTCAGGTGCTCCGGAAGGGTAAGCAGATCCTGCTCCACATGTGACACCCGTCGTGTCGCCCATGTAAGTACAAACTCGGTTATAAGTCTGTGGTACACTAGTCTGTTTCTTGAAAAATAAAAACATTGGTAAACTTCAAACTCGAAAGTTAAGTGTAAAAAAATGGTTCAAATAAAAATGTCAATGAAGAGTTTATAACAAATTAAGACTTAAAGCGAGTACCAATATTGATACTTGAAAAATACTATTGTACTTGAGCTACAAGAAATGCTCAAATGTAAAAATAAAACTATTGAACGAAACAAGATCAAGAAACTCAAAAAACAAAATACTGGTTTACAAATATTCACAAACACATCCCTATATCTAATTACACAACACTGAAAGGTAAATGCGAATTTTTCTTAATCATATCCTACTGCACGAGAAGCACCAGTAGTATTGTCTAACTTATCGTGATGGTATTGTTACAATTTCGGCGAATGTTACAAATTTTTTTATAAAAAAGTGTTTCCGATAACAATAGTTATGAATAGAATAGTGAATAGAAACTGGGAATGTGTCAAAAAGACATAATATCGACCAAAGAGCAGAAAACAACCCAAGGCCACCAATGGGTCTTCAAAGCAGGGAGAAATCCCTCATCTGGTGGCGGGCTTTAGCTGGCCCCTAAACAATAATGTATACTCGTTCAGCGAAATGGACGCCACACCAAACTCCAAAACAATCAAATGAACCAAAATTTAAAAAAAAACACACAAAACTAAATAATGCTAGAGGTTCCTGACTTCGGACAGGAGCAAAAATGCAGCGGGGTAAACATGTTTAGTGAGATTTCAACCCTACCCCTATACCTGCTGTAGCCAATATGGAATAAACAAACACACAGCATGAACATCATTTTATTTTGTACAATCAACATTATTTTATTTTGCACAAAAATGTTTCAAATAAGAAAACAAGGTAAATGTAGATTTTTTTGTTATTTTTTTTATATTAAGAAAAAGATCCATCAGTCTGAATTTGATTTTTATGGTGACGTAAATCTATATTAAAACTCCAAAAGTGTGCCAAACAAATGTGGAAGAGATTACTACTAAAATACATGTTTTTTAAAAGTTTTTTTATATGCTTTGTAATGCTGTACTTGTAAGTCAGCTGTACAAGTAATGCGTAGGACAAATGCGTGAATTAAATATAACTTTTACATAATGAGTGAGACAAGTAGATTTCCATACACATTTCCATTTATTTAAATGAGTACTTAGTTACTGTTCTTTGTTTTTATAGTGATTAAGATTATAACACAATGTTGACTGCTGTACTCCAATCTTTGACATTTTTACCTATTATGTCTGTTTGTTTTGCTCGCACATTGTTGTCAATATAAGGGAATTATATGCGACTGTCATACAACATGTACAAGTAAGATGTATAGATAGCTATAACACCAGGTTTAATCCACAATTTTATACACAAAGAAATGCCTGTACCAATTCAGGAATACAACAGTTGTTTTCCATTCGTTTGATGTGTTTGAGCCTTTGATTTTGCCATTTGATAAAGGACTTTCCGTTTTGAATTTTCCGTGGAGTTCGGTATTTTTGTTATTTTACTTTTTACTGAGGAGTTAATTTGAAACGTTTTAAATTTTTAAGATTTAAGATTAAGAAATAACAAAATTTTGCAATATCATACAGTTTTTTATTACTCTTTTGTAATATTATCGCGTGAAGTCGACTTAGATATTTATATTAGTCGACGTAACTATTTTATACCAAAATAAAATTTAAAACCCTCTAGAGAAATTTAGTATTCAGTATCTCCAACAATAGACGATAGATAGGTATCTATATATTAAGCCAAGCTCTTAATCGGCCAGGCTTAAAAATGCTATGAAAAAAATTGAACATAGACTTTCATAGTTCTACCAATAGCACCACTTATCTTAATAAAAATAAAAACATTGAGATATATAACAAAAAAGTATTAACAAAAATACCGAACTCCATGACAAATTCCAAAAGCGGAAGTCCTTAAACCTGACAAAAACAAACATTGTTGAAGGCCGTATGGTGACCTTTAGTTAATTTCTGTGTCATTTTGTCTCTTGTGGAGAGTTGTCACATTTACAATCATACCACTTTTTTATTTTTATGTTTGACTATATCAACCAACAGAACGAATGGAAACAACTGTCATAGTCCTGACTTGTTACTGGCATTTCCCGAAGAAAATGCTGGGTTAAACCAGGTTTTATAGCTACTTTCAACTCCAACTTGTATGTCAGTTGTTTCTTGTTCATTGTTCCATTTAATTTGGTGAGAAACCCACACAGACATAATAAGTAAACGTGACAATAATTGGGATCCTGAAGCCAAAACTTTGTAAATAAACTCATCATAGATACAAGATTTAAAATTTTGTACTCCAGACGCGCGTTTCATTTACAAAAGGCTCGTCAGTGACGCTCGAATAAAACAAACATTACAGACATACAACACAACTGACAAAAAAAATCAAACAAACATAGAAATAAATCTGAAAAAGATGCAAACAAAAAAAATTGTGTAGTTGATAGAACATACAGTATAGTAAAACATAATGCCCTACTAGTGTTCACAGTCCCGATAATGTACATAGTAAGTAAAATATTAATACAAGAGAAAACAACACTATTAAACCTTATGCTGCCGAATTTCACCTCTGGACCCACCCAAAGACAACCACGGACAAGATTCTGACTTGATACATCCACACGAATTTGCGTATTGAAATTCAAACACTTCAATATCGTTTCTCGTTCGACTACGAAAGGTACAAAAAAGAACATCGAATTAAAACTATTACAGAAAAAAAGTATTCAGTCTGATCGAAATACAGATCCTGAGTCTACTCTTTGTATAAGAGGATCTGACAACACTACGTTCTGTTTTAAAGATCTATCGGAATCCTCCGGCGATTGTAGTAATGATACACACCTTCAAACATTTGAAGGCTGTA